GAAAATGATAGAAACCTTAAATAAAAAAGGGTGCAAAGATGAAGGCAGCAAAGTTCTTTCCCTCAAGATATCTGGACAGCACGATATATTCCTGCAGGACATGCCCTTTAGGAATTCCCCAAGTAGCATTAAGCTGTCATTACTGCTTTTATCACTCATAACTTTAGACTTATCACTGAACCATTAGTCCTTTACAGCAGTAATATTTTAAATTGCAGTCCTAGTTTAGCTTTATTATCCAGTTATCTCAGTATTGCTGTTTCTCTTTTACCAGTGTGATCCAAACATATGTTCTGCTTGTCAATGATTAATAACCACTGAAATGTGGGGATGAAACTAGCTGCTGCTGACGGGGCGTTAATATGAGTCAAATTATTTGAATTCTGACTGCAAGCGACTATAGTTTTGATTATTTTTTCATTTTTCACAGTGTCACACGCGGCAGTTTGGAGTTGCATTCAAAACACAAAGTTTTGAAAATGTCCAGCAGCCATCAATGGATCAAGTGTTGATGTGAACGGACTCCTCAGACCTTATCAATAGAGCTGTAACGTTGACATTGGTACTGTCTGACATTGAGAATTGTCAGACGGTACCAGAGCTACTTTAATAATAACTTTGCTGCTCTGTGTTCCTGTGTGCCACCAAGGTTCCGTCCATTGTACATGTTACGTAAAGCTTGAGGATCTGCGCAGCAGTTTGTGTGCATGTGGAATGAAAAAAAAAAATGCTGTGTACACGTTTAATGCTAAATCCATGTGGTTTTTTATTTATTACAACACAGAGCCTCGATGTTACCAGTGGTGATTATGGTGCCCCATTTGCACTACGGGAATCATAGAATGATTTATAAGTGAAGGCACAGGTCAAGTCACTAATGCTGAAGCATATAATGTAAGATTTATATAACAGTAAAATCTGCACCATATGGAAAGTCTGCACAAAGCTTTAGTTGCCTGGCAAGCTTCCTATTTAAACAAAGAAGTTATGCTGGAAGTCTTACTGGAAAAAAATCTGTTCTACCATTTGAAGTGTGTTTTAAAGAAACAGTCTGTTTTTTTTTTTTTTTCTTTTTAAAACAACACCGTTCAGTGCTGTTTTTTGATTTGACATTAAAGGTCAGAGTCCACTAAACAGGTCAGACACAAGACTTTTATAGCGCATTCACATGATGAGCAGACCAGTTCAGATGTCATGTGTGCTGCTTCTGTGTGCGAAGAGCAGATCATGCACAGATCTTTGTATGAAAGACAAACAGTTCATCCTAGCATTGGCTGCTGTCCTGCTTAATCTAGAACATCTCCAAAAAACAGTGTAACACACTAAGTTGCTGCAAGACAATATCTAGCGGCACACTAATGCATGTGCACAGATATCTGAACATCCCACAGGCAGACACACCTACATACCTGAAACACAGTTAGAGTTTGCGGTGTGTGTAATGTGGTTTGTTGTGCAAGTTGGAAACCACACAGTGATAAACCATGTGGTGCATATTGTGTAAGTTGAAGCTTTGCAATGGTTTAAAATGTTACTCTTAAGTTAATGAAGTGAAATATTTTCACAAAGCTTTTGTTATTTGTTATTCAGAGAAGCCTCATTTGTAATCCTTTCTTCAGAGAAATCGCCTAAAGCAGCGTAACTGAATCCAGACTGGGGGTATGGAAGGTCATTTACTAAACGTTTGTCCTTTGCACTAAACTGAAGAGCTCTTTTAAGACAGAAACTGAAAGATGAGGGCTTCAAGGATTAGTTGATTAAATATGTCAATGGACAGAAAATGAATCAGCAGCTGCTGTGACAATGGATTAGTGATTTAAAGGTTTCTGACATTGTTCAAGCAAAATGTCCAGTGTCCAGTGTTGTGTGATGCTAATCTGCTTGTCTTTGGTTAGTACGGCACCAAATTTTAAGATCTTTCAAAATGTTAATTAAAAGGAAACATAGACCGTGTGTACAGATGGAAGAACCCTCCCTGACGTCACCCATAGCTTTCCTGAACTGTGGTTGTGAAGTTCAGTTTAGTAGCCGTCACCATCTCGACGTGCCTGACTCCATCTAACACCTGGCTGATCCAAAATAGAGGTGAAGCTGGAGTGGAGCTGAGGTGGACCACAGACCTCTGGGACATGGACTGTCCTATGAAAGCAGCGAGCTGCCACTCAAAGCAGCCATGCCCTTAATTTGGTGTAAAGATAATGGATGGATGGGTCTATGGGGACTGATTTGAGAATTGAAAACGTCACCGTGGGCTTCAAACTGAAATGTTTTAATGAGTTACAATTTTTAAAAAATGTACTGAACAATTGAGAAACGCGATAGATAAACCAATAATTACAATAATCTTCAGTGGCAGACAGTCATGTTCTCAATATTCTACTAGAACAGAGAACCGGGGTGGTTTACACTAAAACCGAACTGAAGGTATTCAAAGGCTGCTGCAGCTGGATGAAGAAGCTTTTAGAGAAGCTACTCACAGGGGAGGTTCCTCTGGACTGATTTCAGCTATAAATTGTTAATACTAATATTAATACTGCTTAGTGAGTACAGCACAAAATGGTTTATCTGGAATTTACTCAAAAGAAAACAGTGACGAGGTCCATGATAATGACCAAAACATTGAAATGGTTCTTTATGTCTCACTGATGTCTTTTTTCGACAACGTGGTACAGAAAGACAGAAGAGTACTTCCCTTACCATTTGATATACACATTGGACAAGTTGGCCTTAACGGAACAATACTTTAAGGCGACCTATTGTGTCTTCTGATACTGTAAAATGTCAGGACCTCTTCACCACAGCTGCCTTGAAGCATGATCCATTGTGTGAAACTCATAGAAATAGAAATCTGTAATGATTATGTACCCAAAATCCACAGCATGCATATTCAGCACCTCAGTGTCCGGGTCTGGTCCCTCTGTGGACAGCACGCACACAAAACCACTCGTTGATTAGACAGGAGCCAGCGAGAGGCACCAGTCTCCTCACACATACTCAGTCCTCATTGAACCGTGGTCAAACAGGTATGTGCTATTATATTGTACAGCAGTCACAGTCCTGTCACTCTCACTTTATTTCCCCTTCATTATTTCCACTACCCTCACAGAGAAAAAATCTTTACGGCCTTCCTCTGCTCTCTGGAATTTTGCACTTTCCCTCAAATATCTCCCTTTTTTTTTTCACTAACTTCATTCTTCTGTCTTGCAATTCATCTCTCCAGCGCTTTCTCATTTTCCATCCTCTCATCCCTGCTGTGTGCCGTCTGTCTTTGTCATTCACTCCTCCTCCGTGCTGCCAGACTGTCTCTGTGATATCTGAGCCGCAAGAGGCGTTTGTACCTCGGACTGCTACCGTGTACAGATATTATGCTGATCTGGTATGAGACATTGTGAAGAGATGTACTCAGAAAAAACACTTCATGACATTTCCACTGTACAAATGTGTTTAATGAATGTAGAAGAAACTGCTTTAGACAGAAATTGCTTAACTTCTAAAGACTGTGTTTGTATTTATTTACATTTCATTTCAATGAATATGGAACTACCTAGACTGTAGAGATGTGATCAGTACAGTCAGTTTGGACAATTCAATATACAGTGTGTACAGTATTTGCTACTTTGCCTTCGGTTTGAATGGATCATTTCTCTGCTGTTGGTGCAGCAACACCATCTAGTGGATACAGAGATTTCTACAGAATACTCAACATAAGCTATAGATATAAAAGTAATGAAATGACATTAAATTAACTAAATATAAACAAAGCAGAAGCATTCAATATTGTAACAGTGTATTCAAATCTGTAAATCACATAATATTATAATAACTGTTGTTTAATAACAAGAATTTTAGTTCACTCAAAGCTTTCAGTGTTTTGTGTATTCAGACGTTACTTTTCGTCACCTCGGACAGACGATCTTCAAATTTCAAGTGTTCAGGAAATCATAAATAATCTCGGCTTTTTGTTCTTTGGACCTACCAAACTTGATGCATTTACTATTAGTTTAGATTTATTCTTTTGTGTGTTATTACATTATACATCACTTGATGTTTTGTTCAATTTCATGTGAATGACAAATATCTTGCACACACAGTGATTCTCTATAGAGCTGTTGGGACAATGTCTGAATGGAGACATGAGGAACAATCTCTGTGTAATGGCAGAATGCCGTCACTTTAACAGACTGATGAAGCAGCAATGGTACAAATCCAGTGTCTGAAAAGGACTTTTAGTACACTTATCTTGCATGTTTATCCCATTTAACTTGCATTACAGATTATTGCATTAAATTAAAATGTAATTGAGGGGGGGAAAGGATTTATAAAATATCAGCAGGCCTCTAAACATGTCTCTGAATCGAGTGTTTTCAAATGCACTTTTTTTTATTTATTTTTTTTTAACAAGTCATGATAAACTAAAGAATTTTCAAAGAACAGGAAAAAACTCAACTTCTGTGGATTGTTTAAGTAGTTATATTATGCAAAGCAAATCACATTATTTACATGTATTTTTAATTGACTGTAGCTTTGACAGCGGACGGCTACCAAAGGATTTGTTTAGTGGTCAGTCGGGTGAGCTGCACACTGAGAAGCCACCAGATACACTCTGTTTTCCACTGTTTGATACATGGAGCAAAATAAATGCTGAACCTGTATCCTTTCCTAGACTATAATCTCATGTTTTGTTTTTTTTTATGTTGTTTTTTTTACTAGGTAGATTAACAGGAGTCACAGTTTGGGAGGCAGACTAACAGCATTTGGATGCTCTTTGCAGTCAAACAAACAAACCTGACTCAACAAAAATGAGTCAATATTTTAGCGATAGGAGAGAGACGGTAGCAAAACTATGTCACATAATAACTCATCACAGACTCTCACATACACATACAGCCAGCCATGAAGTGCCATATTCCACGATCTATGTGCATTTCCCAGATCCTGATCTAGACAAAGATATTTCATACCGACATCGATCCACTGAAATCTTCACCTTGCTTTGCAGGTTACTGAGTTATCGGAGGCTTCTTGATCTCATCTTCGTCCTCCATCTGTGTGTCGGGGTTGTTACCCTCTGCACTGCCTGACTCGTCCTCCTGCTTCTCGGTACGCCACCGCTGTTTGAAGTGGGCGTTGAGTCTCTCCAGGATGTCAATCGAGTGGTTGATAAGCAGGGCCAGCCAGGCCAGGCCAAAGAAGATCCACATGGCCATGAGGACGCTGTACCAGTCAGGGTATTCTTTGTCTGGATTACTGTCTGAAAAGCACCATATACTCTTGGTTAGATGCACACAAGAAAAAAAACAATCCTGACACTGACTATAATGAGTGGTTTTTCAGGCAGCTACTGTGCTGTACCTGCCACAAAGTCTCCAAAGCCGATGGTGCTGAGGGTGATGAAGCAGTAGTAGATGGCCTGCGAATGGGTCCAGCCCTCATGCTGTTGGAACACGATCATGGGCACAATGAAGAAGAGGACCGTTCCACAGAGGTAAGAGACCAAGTGGACAGAAAAGCGCATACACCTCTGCAGTAAGACAGGGGAAGGGGAGTCATGTTTCAGTCACAAATGTTCCCACTTGAACAAGCTGATCCTATAGATATTTAGATGTGGTGGTCTCCTTACCCTTTGCCCAGTCTTCCCCTCAAGGAAGTCAGAGACGTCCCTCTCTATGGCAAGCATGTACTTGCCCACTCTGTTGAGCACCACCATGTTGAGTGGGATTCCAATCAGTGCGAAGAACACACAGAAGATCTGGCCAGCTGTAGTGCTAGGACTCATGTTCCCGTAACCTGCAAAACTGTAAACTGTTAGTATGTCATCTCCCTTTGGTGGAAGGAAAACAGTGCTCTGGAGAGGAGGAGCGAGTCTTTAGTCAAATGTTGAGTGTTTGAATGGTCATTTTTTTTCCCATTTAATAATTCACCTACCACCAAGTAAGTTATCTCTCCACATCTGTCTAAATCAAAGGCATTACTCTGGGGTTCTGCTGAAGATGAAATGATAGTTATAATAGACTTAATCAATTGCCCTGAAATATTCAACTATTTGGCTGTTGTCATTACAATGGGCAGGTAGAGGCAAGCACTAACATAGGTAGCATGGAAGTAGGATGTGTTGGCACAATGCTTAGATGGAGGACTTTAACTAGTTGGAGTGGGGTTTGAATCCTGGCTGAAGCCACAAGTACTGACTTTCAGCTTCACTATCTGTGTATATGAAGCTTGTGCTTGTCTGGTGGGATTGGTTCAGAACATAGAGGAGAGAAGGAAGAGGTGCAGCTAGCCTCTTATTTCACATCTCTTCACACACAGATTTTAAAGTAGACACAGGAGTTCTGCAATTCCAGTGCAAAATAGAAACTGGTCAAATGCAGTCTTGACCAGGGTAAAATCCTGATATTATGAAATTATACACAAATCCAGTCACTTTTTAAACAATCGTTCCAGTGAGAATTGAATACAGGACTGGCTCAGTACGAGGTTACCTTCACCCAGTAATAGGGTTGTTTTGACAAAGTGCCTGTATTTTCTTGTATCCATGTTGGGCTACTAGACAACAACAACCCATTGCATTGTGGGGTTTTCCACTCATGAGCTTTGGATAAAGTGAACCTGTTGTTGCCTCAGTGCTACAGTACATTGACCCTACTGGCCAGACAGATTATGGGACGTAGTTAAAAATGTCTGGTGTTTAATTCCCAGATGTCTAACCTATAGTTGTGACCACAGTTGCAGCAAACACAGCCGAGCTGGTGAATTTCCAGAAGCCATCCGTGGTGTAGTTGCCTTTCAAACTCAGGCCCACCTTCGATGCATCTTGAACAACCTGAAATTTAAAAATAAATTAATTTAAGATATAATAATAAAAATTGTTTAAAATAATTTAAAAAAAATTGAAATACAGACTATTATCTTACATGAACTTAGGCCAGACTATGTGGCTCATGGTCATATAACTACCTTGTATACTGATCTACATTCTTTTCAGGTTATTTAAACACCTTGAGGCTCTACTGCTCAATAAATTACAGTTGTCAGCATGACACTGAGAAATACCTCCTCGGCACTGTGTTCAGAGGTCACTGTGAGGAAGTACACCGAAAAAATACACAACAGTCTAAGACTGGTGGGTATCTAACACCTAGTCAGTTTTGATGCAAGATTTCCAACACTGTGCTGGTGTATGAAGTGTTATCACAAGAAAACAGGCAGGATATTAATATAAATGTTATATCTTAATGTTGCTATCTTAATGTGCACTGACCTACGCCACCCATACTACCTCTATTGCCAGCTTGGATTTGTTTTAATGCAATGCAAATCAAAGGAGTTTCCCTCATACTACTACATTACAAAACGGAATGAGAGATAACAGAATAATTATTGTTTTGAACTAATGGAAAATGGAGTGCAACATATTGTGCATTTTTCTAGAATGAATGACAAGGTTTAAATATATTGTATCAGTTTCTATGAAGAAGATGCGTAACTTTACTGCTGTATAAATCAAGCCAGGCCCCGACACATAGGCAAAGTAGAATGTTCAGTGCTGAAAGGCCAGCATTTGCATTTAGGAAGTCGCCGCACCACCATGAATACCAGCCACTCAAACTTTTAAATAAGATTCAGAGGTATTACACTCTTCATTTGTGGGCTGCATGGTGGATCTGTGGTTTTACCACTGTCACCTTACAGCGAGAAGATCCCCGGTTCTGTGTGGAGTTTTCATGTTCTCCCTGTGCAGTGTGGGTTCTCTCCGGGTTCTGTGGCTTCCTCAAAGTCCAAAAACATGTTGAGGTTAATTGGTGATTCTAAATTTCTGTAGGTGTGAATGTGAGTGTGCTTGGTTGTCTGTCTGTAGGTGTGGCCCTGTGATAGACTGGTGACCTGTCCAGGGTGTCTCCTGCCTTCACCATGAGTCAGCTGGGATAGACTCCAGCCCCCCCACGACCCTAGTGAGCCTTAAGCGGTGTATAGATGATGGATGGATTTTGACTCTATTAGTAATTGCAGATGTTCATCTATGGCTTGGAATGCTGTTGCTGCTGGTGGGTCGGGTTACTGTTGTTGTTTAAAGGTGCAGACCTGCATTCTGTGTGTCCACTACTGCTGTTGATTACTTCTGTGATTTATTGGGTAAAGATAAAAAATAATATCAAAATTGTTTTGTTGGCCACTATGGATGAATAAACAATGGATTCAAATAGTAATTTATTACGTACACGACTTAAAGAAATACATCAATGGATTTATTAACACCTATTTAAGGGCTTGTTGGATGCATTGAACACAATACATTGTAGAGCTCTGCAGTAACAAACTCCTAGTAATCCAATCTGAAACTGTTCTACCTTCACATTATGAGAACATGAAGGGCAGCACCACTGATTTGCTGCAGTGTGCTTACCTGAGCCACAGCCTCCAGGCCTTCTTGGTTCATACAGGGGTACGTCGTAAGCAGCTTTTTTTTGTTCAGCAGCAACACACTGATGTCCTTCTTTCCAAGCTCTCCTTCCAACTTCCAGAAAATCACCCCTCCAATCAGCACATAGGTCACATAAACCAAGCCGAGCATCAGGATGGACGGCACCTGCGCCTTAGTGAACATTTCCTTTAGTCCCATTTTGGCTCCCTGGTGGTTTGAACTTTGGAATCCAAGCAAGTCCAGAAGCTCAACCTCAGACTGGGACGGAGACGAGTGAAGGTTTACCTACTTGGTTTCTCGTCTTGCATTGCAGGCAAATAAGCCTCCTCCTGCACTGCAGTTTACATCACTCCAATGGCCTGACATGCAAATCCAGAGGAGCAAAATAAGATGAGGGAGAGACAGCAGCACAGGATGGATTGTATGTGGTGACTACAGCTAAGGTCAAATGTTGGCATTTGTAGTCAAAATGAACCATGAGGTTTTAGAGCTTTCCAAGTTGTTCTTGGCTCAAGATACCGGTAACGGCATAGTGGAGGACAACAGATACGAGAGACACGGAAAACAAACTACTGCACTCCACTGGTCCAGAAACCAAACAGCTTCAGTTCAAATGTATCACGTACAACTCATTTAAAATTGATTTCTTTTTTATATAACACACATAAAAAGGTTTTTGGCAGTTATGAACAAACACTAAAAAAAAATGACAAAGCCATCCTCATTTTTTCCAGCACGCATTACCGTCTTGATTCATGTGTTTGTTTAAGATAACCCTTCGTTATTCAGCGGCGTCTACCATCACTACACAACTACAGACTCACACAGAAACACACAAAATATCCACTTGTGACATTATGCAAAAGAAATAATAATGCAAATGTGCGGTTTCTTTATGAGGGTGAGTCTTAAAAGTACATAAACAAGAGTACAAAAAAAACACAATTCATAACAGGTGTTTACAACAGAGTGAACAACGTACAATTCCTACCTGATACAACACCTGATTAAACATGCTTTTTTTTTTTTTTTTTAAATCAAGATCATTTTCTACTAACTCTTTGGTTTAATTGAGGTAGAACTGTAAAACAAAAGCCTATACTGTTATTTCAGTTTAAGTATTACAGTACAGTATGTACATGGGCAGACATCATACAAAAACTGTATTTGCTAACAAACGAATAGCTGCTACGTCCATGTTTGTCGTCACTGTAATACAGCAGGTACAGAAAACAATCACAAAATATCTTCTAGTGAGTCAGTATTTATTGTCGTGTTAGATCTTCGATGTGTCCTCTAGTTTACTGGGTGACACTTCCTCTTCCTCCTCTTGTTTCTTAAAGCCCGGATGAGTCAGGAAAACCACATGCTCCATTATTCTGGCTCCCATATTGAGGATAAGAGCGAGCCAGGCAAGGGCAAAGATGATCCAAATCCCTGCAAGGCTGCGGTACAGAGAGATGTACTCCTTGCCGGGGTCAGTTCCTACAGGGAGCGACAATATTCAGTCAGAACATGGAGTCTCAGGTTTGTTTGTTTGGGTTTTTTTTTTAAGGCCTTTTAATTTGACTGAGGTGACTGCTGTGGTTTTTCCACAACATTAATGGTTGTTTGCTCTCTCTACTCACCCACCACATAATCGCCAAAACCAATGGTGCTGAGGGTAATGAAGGCAAAGTAGAAGCCCTCTCCAAATGTCCAGCCTTCCACGTAACTAAACAGCAGAGGAGGGATGACCAGAAACAGCAGGCTTCCAGTAATGAAGAACAAACCCACTGCCATCGCCTCAACTGCTTGCTAGAAGTAAACAACAGGTCAGGCTACGTTTAGATTACATCCATATGTGTCACAGCACCGCAAAACTTATTTTAACTGACAAGACAATGGAAAGAAAGACATATTATGAATCAGTGTGATCTAAAGAAATGTGATTGATACTTCCAAGCTGTGGCTAATGGGCACGCGTCAGTACCTTGTGGGGAACAACTGAGACCATTCCCCTCTCGAGTCGACCGAGGTGGACTGTGAGACACTTCCCCAGCTGCTTGAGGAAAGCCAGGTTCAATGGAATCCCACAGAGGGCATAAAATACACAAAACACTTGACCAGACACAGTGCTCGGGGAAAGGTTGCCATAGCCTGTCAATCAGACGAGCAGAAGGAATTAGTCCACATGTCACCCCGAGGCGCCAAACTGAACTGATGAATGTTAGTGAACGTTACAAATGCTCACCTATAGTTGTGACGACTGTGCCTGCAAAAAAGAAGGAGCTACTAAAATCCCAGTTACTGGGGTTTGTTGAGTTGCCCGAGGGATTGACTCCCTTTTCCCAGGCATCTAAAATCACCTGCAGACACACACACACACACACACACACACACACACACACACACATTTAAATGTTAAAACTAGGTCAGACTCAACTTTGACATTTAAACATTTGAAAGAGAAAATTAACCTATTTATGTCAATCACCTAAATCACAAATTACTCTGAAAAATGCTTTGGATGAGGTCACACCTATTGATGATTGACTTATTAGGTCAAGTTACTGTAACACCATTTACTGTTATGTGCCTGACCTAATTCAAAAATAGATTTTTGTATTTCTCAGTGTTTATTAGCCCATTTCATCAACATGTTTACTCACTGATTAAAACACATTTGTATAAGTGGTCACTTGTATATAACCAGAGGCTGTTTGTCCGCCATAACTCCACTGATAAAGGCTGGTCATGCATTTCAATGTTACCATTTTGATCATAAATACATGCTGAGAAATTTAGCCAAATGAATGACATGAATTCCTTATAATAAATGTAAAAAAATAAATAAATAAATGAAACAAAACCTGAACAAATTGCTCCAAGGCTTCTCCATCCAGGCACGTATAATTAGTCAAGAAATGCAACTTCTCCAGTTGGAAGTGGTTTCGGTTGTTGCTCTCAGCCTCTCGCTCCAGTATCTGGAAGATGATGGCTCCTACCAACAAGTACGTCAAGTGGGCCACAGCCAAAAGTGCCGTCCAGCTCAATCTGACCGGGACCAACTGGAACCTCGCCATCAACCTCCCCCAGAACCAGAAAGGACACAAATGCTGTTGCTCGAACTCAGGAAAAGAGGTTACTCACTTCAGAAAGGAATAAGAATCAAAGTCTCGGTCCAGTGAACAGATCTCATGTGATCTCCTAAGAAGATGTGCGTCACTGTAGACTGTGGCATTCTTTTTCAAAAAAAGGGCATAAGTGAGACAAAAATGCATAAAAGTAAATAAGAACGTGCTACTAGAGCGGCCTTATCGCCAGCTTCACATGGAGAGGTTGATGTTTGGTAAAGCTGTATCCTGCTCAGACTGGATATGTGACGTCCTTACTCTGATTGGTCAGAGCACCATAGATGTTGATTTATGGGTTGCTTGGGTAACGATCAAACTCCTCTCCTCCATTAGCAGGACATCTGGGCACACATACACTTTCAACTGTTTCCACTAATAAGGAAGCAGTGGCAGCATCTTGTCAGCAGAACAAAAGTTAATGTTTTACCTGACTGCTGTTGGTTGTTTGAGCACCCATGATTGTGGAGTGCTGATGCCAGAGTGTTTCAGAAGGATCTGCATTGTGGTGCTTGTTTTATACTTTGAATTGGAAACCTGTGGAGCTGTACTGTTGTTCAACCACAAGTTGTTATGTGCTGAAGTGGGTTATTGTGCAGATAAAATAATAATGTTGCCACAAAGGACATACATTTGGTTTAATTGAATACGGACACTTTGAACTCTCTTCATTCTCAAAGCTCAGTGTTTCTGACCCGTAGAGATCTGCTCAAACAATCATCTGACGTTTTCCACCACATTCAGGAGCCAAGCCTGTTTATAGTCAGATGGAGAGGAAGGAGATGACATTTTGGAGAGGTGCAGAGAGCGCTGCTTGATTATGAGCCATAAACCGAAGCGCTGAAGGAAGCCTTAAGAGAGAACCTAATGGAGTTTTATGGCTTCAGGGCTACAGCAACAGTCAACATAGACGACTTCATTTCTTCACTGATAGAACTTCTTACTTCAATCACTGCTTGCCTGATTAAAAAAAACCCAAAAAACTACTATTTGGAGTGGAGTACCAGTGCAACAATATGATAAACAGCAAGAATCTGTCAGGTCACACTACATATTCTGACATGTCAATGAAAAGGACCCCGTTTCTCATTTGATTCATTACTTCAGTAACATTTTCCCAATGAGTTCATGGTCTCAAACACTAGTTTCAAGACTTTTTGAATACGATGTGATGTTAATTTTGTTAATTATGATCCCATGTAGAGAAAAATCGTCAATAAAGCGGGGCATGTTGTTAGGCAGAGTTACCTTAAGATTGACCAACATTGACCCTGTGTGTCTCCTCGAGTTCTCAGTCCGATCCACCCGTTACTCGTTACAGTCAGTGTCAACATAAGAAGACAGCGATGGCCAAATTCAAAATTTGAGAATGTTGTCCACAAACAATCAACAACACATTTGCTGCATTCATCAGAATCAGTTTTCAGTTCAGTTTTGATTTCATTTTTCCGTTGCTGAAATAAATTATTATTTAAAAAATATAGCCAACTTCTAGCAGAAGTGTACTGCTTTTCCTAAAATACAAAACTTTTTGCCCAACAGTTCACAAAGCACCTTCTAGACTAGCTGAGAATATTTTTAATAACTCTACACTGATGCCCTGAGATGGGCCATCTGTTTCATTTTTTTTATCAAGTTAATTATTTTCCCTTGGTTTGTACAATCTTTTTAATAGATTACAATTTGTCATACATTGCTGCCCTTGACTAATTGTTCCTGATCCATAAAAATGTAACTTGCCTCATCCTACATGCTTTATTGTTTTAGATATTATAATGATATATGCATTTAAAAGTCTGAATCAGAGCTGGCAGATTTTAATTCTGGATCATAACATTAAAGACACGTTTGTGTTTATGGTGTAGGTCTACAACTCACAGTTCAGACATATTAAAAGAACTAGATGTTGTAATATTCAGGTAGCTACAGTTGGACTTCATATTAACTGCAGTGGAAACACTTCAAATATACAGTATATTATTGGAAAGTCGAGTTACAGTATGAACTGTAAACCTCAGATTCTGCTGTAGCGTACTATATTCAATTATACAGTATTTAACTGTTATAAATCACAATAGTAACACTGTCCTGGGCTTAGCACCGCACAATGTGATGGCAACTGCTTTGAAGAAATGTGAACGATCCAAAGAGTTTTTTTTTCCCCGCTTACATGAGAATGATAATGAGGTGCAGTCAGACCATTCTCCAGCACTGACACAGCACTGTGGACAGGTGTGGCTGTGGGAGGCTAGGTTTCTATCAGCGCCTGAGGGATGTATGTTTCTCTGTAGCTGCTCAATGGCACACTGTGTTCACCAGCTAGTTGCTGACTATGTCTGCCTTTATTTGATGCTTCGCAGGAACTCTAATAAAGCAAATCCTGCTGTAGCCAATCAGGGAACTTTAGATTGTTGGGTTCTCTGTCCTTGTTTAAAATTTTGTAAGGTCTTTGCCGTACTATGTCAAGTGCTATAAGATGAGATACGCTGTGAGTTGGCACTAAACAAATAAAACTGAACTGAACTGAAGTGAATCATTCAGTTGATATAGAGAAAATGGGAAATGTTGATCAAAAAATAAATGTTGAACATGTTCTTGGGAATACAGCAGTAAGAGCTATGTCAGCTGTCAGTCATTTGATTTATTTTCAGTATGTATACAAATAATACAATTAATTAGGGGCTCTACTGTTTAGGATGATGAGACATCACTGATGATGACTTAGACAAATAAAGGATCTTTCTCCAAGGCAACTCAGCCTGGATGCAAAGTGTGCAGCTGCTTGTCATCTGTCAAACAAATCAATGCAAAGTCATGCAAACAGGTTGACAGGTTGTCCCTGTGTGGGCAGAGATGTAGCTGATGGATTCTGTCATTGTCAGAAACTACGTGTGGCTCATACCCGTCAGTCTCCCAGACATAACTGTGCAAAAACGTGATACAGGCCTCTCACAAACTATAGTTTAAATTTTCCATTTCATTGTTAACCAACTTAATGGATCCTAATGTGACTGATACTATATATATATTGAACCATCCTATAAAATACCACCAGTACTGACTGCATTCACAAATGATTATTCACCTCAATAATCAATGCGCTGTGCATCAGCACGGCTGTCACAGTATTTAAATATCAAATACTGTATATAACAGAATATCTGTACAGATTGCAGGCCTTTCTAGGGTGTTTCCTTATCTGGCCCAGTGCATTCTGGGAGAGGCCTCACCTCCATGTCATGTTAAAAAGCAGTGAGTCTTATGATCCATTAGTAAAACGGTGCAAAATAACCAATTTTGCTTATATAATATATACAAATATTTCAGGAGACCAGAGAGACAGTCAACTCATCATTACAGCTTATAGAATGGACCCAGAGGTAGTTCTCAACTAATGCAGAATACATTTGACTACTAATGGACTGTAAGGCCTGTATTTTTACTACCAAGACTTTCAGTCGTCCTAATGCCCTTCATGGCATGAAATCTGTGAAGAATGAAGTCAATTTTGCGTGGTAATGTTCCACTTGAATTCCACAGGAAAATAAAACATAGTAACCACCATAGCTCAGATGCCAAGAGAGTAACTGTAAAGTGAGAGACCTGAGAAAGGAATTCAGCATTATTATCGGTAAAAGGAACAAAACTTAGACCGGATGTGTTTGTCTGTGCCAAATACACGGGTGAAGAAACTCAGAAATGACGTTCGCTAATAAGAACAAATTACAGCAATAATGTGTTAAAGTATCTCACAGTTCTTTTATTTTTGGTCTGATATTTAATGTAAATATATATATATTTTTTAAATACTCCTGTATAAACAAAATAATACAAACTTTTACAACATTTTACATACTTAGAATACAATGACATCCTATTGAAATATCAAATGTGTTAGTTAACCATGTCAGAAGTTCTGATTTATTACATCCAACACATACTGGAGCCACCTGGTTTCCGATCGTCCGCTCCTTCCTCTGATATCTTGAGAAAACATTTGTTCAGATCAAATGGCCGGTGCAGGCTGTGATTTACAATGATGCCCATAATATTACCAGCATCATCTCCAGGAAGTCAATGTGTGTGTGTGTGTGTGTGCGCGCGCGCACGCTCATGTGTGTGTGTGTGGTGTGTGTGTGTGTATGTGTGTGTGTGTGCGCGCGCACGCTCATGTGTGTGTGTGGTGTGTGTGTGCGTGCATTTGTGTGCGTGTGAGACTAAGACAGATGTGTGGAGGGTTTTTGGCAGAAATCTAAAGCACATTTAGATCATTCTTTCACCTGGCACACATGGAGGTTGAACAAGCATTCACATGTTGACAGGCTTCCTCAGAACTTAGTATCACTGTTGAGCTGGGCCTGAAATACAGAAAAGCACAAGGCTGATCGGTCATCCAGTATTTAGAAAACAAGGAACAAAACAACACAAGTGAATGCACTTTTTTTCAAAAAACTTTATTTTCAGTAACAACCCTTGAAGAGAAATCACTGCTGTAATCTACGACAAACACAATAACAGCCTCCACTTTATAATGAGATTGTCCATTTATTTATCCCAGGTTTCTAACACCTCCCAGCACGCGTTATGGACTCGTTACCAAACAACCAAGGAGGGGGCTGTCCTGTCAAAACACAGTCGCTCTCCAGCTATCCAGAAAGAAAGAAAGAAAGAAAGAAAGAAAGAAAGAAAGAAAGAAAGAAAGAAAGAAAGAACCTGTACTTCAGCGGGACTATTTTTCTGTCTGGTGTCTCTGCACATTTGGCCATCGTTCTGTCTGTTCACATGACCTCAGCTGCTCTGGATATCTAGCGGCAAACCACAGGGCAGCCAAGTCCACTTTACTGTCTGCCAAAGCAAGCAGCTATATAAAGGTCAAAGGAGAGAAGGAAGAGGAAAAGACAGAACGTGTGTGTGTGACAGAGAAGAATCATGGAGAGTCTGAAATTCAGGAGTCACCGCAGTCTGACACTCTCCCTACACTGGAATCATTTTCTATCATATCAGATATCTTGCAGGTGGCCTCTGAGGGGGAATACATTTTTCGAAAGTAAAAAGTACAACTTTTGCCACTGTGCATACTCCTGTGGTATGTGCCATCACAACACCAGAGGGCAGTGTTAAATGAGCTCTGTAGACTGTACTGACGTTAGTGTGTAGATTACACTAGTTCAGCCACGACACTAAAACCACAGACAGGTGACATGAATAACATTCATCATCTCATTACAACGTGATGTCCTGCTGGGAAACCTTGGGAACGATGTCACTTTGACACATACCACCCACATAAACTATGCTGCAGACCAAGCAAATTTGCATAGTTTCTTAGCTTCAATGCAAATTCTTGAGAGCATCTGGTCAGCACATGCATTACGTGTTATATGTCAACATTACACCGTGCATCCTGCATCTTGCAGGTTGCCCTTGTGCTGTTTTGGCAGCATGAGGGGGATTTACACAGCAGCAGACAGGTGATGCTGATCAGTGTACTTCTTGCTTTGTGTGTGTGTTACCTGCCCTGCTGAGGAGGTTTTGCCTGGCCCTGACAAAAGCCAGAATGTCAGCATCAGTCTGCTGGTCTCCGGTCATTGGAATAGAAGAGGATGAGACTGTGGTGGAGGCAAGGGCCCTGAAATATACAAACAGTTACTGCTGCATGAAAGCCTTCGCATAAACTGATCACAGTTTCAAAAACACCGATATGACAGAAAGGCACCTGCAGTTCTTTGGTTTTTCTTTAAGGATGTTGGGGTGGGAGCAAAAGGCCCTCAGCTTTACCACAGTGAGCACCGCTGCTGTGAAATGTGAACTGCTCAAGCCCCAAACATTTAAAGGAAACACGCTAAAAACTCTAATGAGTAACAGCTCTTCACATTATAGGGCGCCTGTATAAAACAATAGTGTCTCTGTACTACAAGTGGTTTTTGGAGAGGAACAAAAGCATACATGTAATACACTGTGTGATTTACTGTGGTTGTAAAAAGGTAGTTTGAGCAGCAGTGTTCAAGTGAGACCCAAAGTCTTTGATTTGTTAACTGAGTTTGTAGACATTACTTCACAAACGTATAAAAATTTATGGCCGTGTTCATAAGTGCAGAGAAAACACTGCACAGCTATAAAATCTGCAGGTCCAGGCTGTATGTATGGATTTAACAGCTAGTGCAAACACATGGGATATGCTACTGTACTGTGGGCATTCCTGCATACCTATAAAAAAAGGTAAATACACATGAATGCTAATTTCAAAGACCCAAAAGATCTGTTTGAAGTTTTAGGTGCTGTGTTCTGAGGTAACAAATCAGACACCACAGAGACCTGATCTCACTGAAAAGGTATCAGAAAGAAGATGGATTTCTCAGGTGCAATATCAGTCACACATGTCAAATGCTGAATGGAAGATATTTTGATAAAATAGTTCTTCCAAGAAAACCATTAATCTGGAAAAGTGTTTAATTGCTTACATTTTTTAAATCCACAATTATTTAGTAAACAGTCTTGATGTCCCTTGGTACCCCAACTGTCACCAGGCCAGTGCTTCACATACCTCCACTCAGAAGAAGGAGGGGAGTCAGTCACCTGTCCATCCAGGGATGTGTTATTCCAGGCTGGCACAGCTCGCAATGGAGGTCCACTTCTAGGGGTGATGCTTCTGAAATTCATGAAAAAGTGGCATTTATCATTTTATTGTGAAAAGATCATATAGTAGCATGCAGTATAATCCAGTAGGAAACTTTGCTGACCTGATCTCTTGACTAGATGAGGAGGGGCAGCCTGGATTTGGGTCTTGGACTGCTGGAGAGTCTCTCGTAGTACTGCTCAGACCAGGAGCACTATATGAGTTAGGAGAGCTTTGTAGAAATAATAAGAATTCATTTATGTAGCACTTTTAACTTCAGAGGTTAACAAAGCATTTTGACAGACAAAGCAAATGTAGGATACCCAGAAGGCAAGATACCAACAATTTAGTTAAAGAAGAAGAATACAACGATGCAAAAATGCACCCTGCATCACAGGATTAGGTCTATAAATATGGATTTAAGAAGATGTGTGAGCTTTAAGTCCTCAGGAAGGTTGTTTCAAAGCTGAGGGGCCCTGATGGCAAAAGCTTGGTCACATTTAGATCCAAGCCTTAACTTTGGAACAGCAAGAAGGACCCTATTGAGGACTTACGCCTGCAAACAGACTTAAATGTGGTCAACATTTCTGCAGTCTAACTTGAGGCCAGATGCAGACAAGCTTTATAAGTGATCAGTAAAAGATATAGTCTCACAGAACTTGATCTTTATGTGCAGGTTCAAAACAACTGAGACCACATGTAATAGTCTTTCAGTATAAGCCCACGCATGGTGTCATGCTGGTCTGAACCACAGGAGGGAGCAACAATACAAGGTAGTTTGTCTGAAGAATTTTCTGTACAGGGTTTCTGCAGAGGGGCAGCTCATTGCTAAAGTGGTTAGCACCGTCACCTCACAGCTAGAAGATCCCCGATTTGTGTCCCGGCCTGGGAGTTTGCACGTGTCCCTGTGCAGCGTGGGTTCTCCGGCTTCCTCCCACACAGTCCAAAAACATGCTGAGGTTAGCTGGGGATTCTAAATTCTCTGTAGGTGTGAATGTGAGAGTGCTTGGTTGTCTGTCTCTAAGTGTAGCCCTGTGATAGACTGGTGACCTGTCCAGGGTGTCCCCTGGCTTCACCCTGAGTCAGCTGGGATAGACTCCAGCCCCCAGAGACCCTAGTGAGGAGTAAGCGGTGTATAGATAATGGATGGATGGATGGATTTTTGCAGAGTTCACCAAACTAAACTTGAGACTTTTTAAGACCTTTTTATTACAACATATATATTTATTTTTTATGATCATACCATAAAGGCCGATTTTTTTTTTTTGGACATTAAATTTTTTGTCAAAACTGACATTTGCCAATTATGTGATAATGAACCTGCTAGTGACTGTAGCTAGCAGTGGTGACAGTGTTTAGTGCTGAATGAAACAGACAGAACAGCCTCCTGCATGAACAACCCATCATGTCTGTCAACAAAAACATTCTATAACGAACATGCAGTGATGTTAGTGGTAACATCAGACAGAACTGCAGCAGGTAACAGAAACAAAATACAACTAAAAAGATCATTGCAAACTAAATGTAAGATGTTGTTTTTGCTGTCGTCTGACCTAGACAAACACTGTGGTCATTCTTTCTATGAAGGTGAGATACTATCTATGTCATAAAAGCCTTTGCGAGCAGTGGCAGGTATAGAATGTCCAATAGCACCTGATTCATTGCTAAATGGGAAATGATAGCATGAGCCACTTTACAAACAGAACCACAGATGGTGGAGCAAACAAAGACAATGACATTAAATTTTAACATTGATTCGATATTTGTTCCATGGAAACGAGCACTGAGGAGCTGCAGGTTGTTGGCAGTAGTCAAGTGCTATTCAAGCACAGATGGTGAAAGGGTAAAAATAACGTTAATGAATGGAGCAGAAATGAGTTGGTGAGGAGATGGTGTTTGTAGCATGGCTAGGTTCTCTATGTAACCAATGAACTCAGCAGAGACTCATGATATCTGCATGCATAATGACATGTCCACACTTCCATAGGCGTGCATTCACATATGCTGCCAGCTTGGAAAGATGGAATAAGCTGTATATATATACAAGATGTAACAGAACAAAACAGCTTTTGAATCACTCAGACAAAATAGCTCACCGAAATCCTGGGGTGCCAGCTGGGAATGGCTGCAAGGTTTCATTTGGTGATCCCATATGACATCTGGCTGTGGCCCCTGACTCAGATTCCTAGTCACAATTATTGAGAAATTACTGAACTCTTTATAGACACTTCCCAGTAAAAACACCAGAGTTTGCTTGTGATCAGCAAACACAATGTGGCCATATGTCTCTTACATGTAGACGGAACAGAGAACCTCAGGTATTCTGAGTCCTGTGTCTCCGTCATACATCTTATTCAAGGTTGAAGTGATTACATGTGTGCTGTGCAAAAACAGAACAATAAATGGGTGAACAAAGCCATTGGATATGCAGTATATTGGCATAGTGTACTGGTCTGCTTCCTGCTTCGAGCACCAAAACTGCACATGTAAGGCCTGTCTGTCAGACTTCCTCTTCTTCCCATTTGTCATTCAGTGAGACATTCCCAAACCTTGCTCAGATGTGAGAGAGATATTCTTCTCCATTCATAAGATCAAAACCAAAGAGCAGAAGCCAACAGTGTCTGTTCGTCAGATGTTGTTGCTTAACATCTTCTTTGTGGTTGGTTTTCCGAAATGTGCACAACAGCCATCAAGACCAGGGAAAAAAGTCTTGAGTGTGAGTCAAGAGAGTTCTCTAAGTCAGTTTTAAACATGAATTTCCAACGAATCTTTCTCTCCAAGCATTGTCTTACATCACACTGCGAAGTCTCCTAAGTATTTAAGCACAAACAAAAACGTATTATTTCCGACTGAAATAGACACTGACTCATGTCTTACCCCTGCTGTGTTACTGAGAAACCGCATGGATATCTTTTTTACTTGTTAAGACCAACTGCTGAGACGGTATATCGATGCTCTTGCTATCTCTGAGCTGCTCTCCAGGCTCTTGTTTGAGTCACATGGAATTCTATAGAACTGGATTTCTGTGTATTTGCCTCCTACATATCTTCCCACCAGGACCCATTCAGCGTGATGTTGAACAGAGGCTGCAAGGGTCACACTGGTGCCATAAAAGCCTCCAAAGTCAAAGACACGTGCAGATCAACTTACACACACACACACTAGCATGTCCCTAGAGGCCAGTATTCAGAAAACACACATGCGTAAATACAGCAACAAAAATGAAGAGGTATGCCTAATGTCAGAACCATATCTCTGACACGCTTGATTGGCTATTACATCACGTTCATAGAAGCTTTATGTGGTGTTGTCACATAGATAGGCAGAGAAAGGTACGGTCAGTCACCTGCACGCTGGAAACCTCCTGGCTCCACCACTTATGGAAGTCCTTGTGGAGCTTGGTCTTTGACCTTTCCAGCAACAGCTGCAGATGTTCAATCTCTGTCCTCAATGCCTTTAGATGGCCAATGGTGCTCTTGTAGCTGACAGGAGATATTAGCAGCACCAAATTCATCTTTTGTCCACGTTACATAGCATCTGCTGTGTCCAATCAATCTAAGCAGGGTCTTGGGAGAAAGTAGGAAAACATTTGGTATGGTAATTCATTAAAATGCGCTACAACTCACGCCAATTTTTCTTGCTCGATGTGTTTGCACAGGTTTTCTTCCACTGGGTCGTACTCTTCCTCAAAGTTTGTGTGATTCGCCATGGCAGCTATTGTACAATTAGACAGGCAGAGGGAATAACAAAGGATTCAAAAGCAGGTAGAAACGTGGACATGTTTTATATAAAATGGCAAATACAGTTAGTTTGTTTTTTTAAGTTCAGGAACTAGTGTGTGCACTTCCTCCAAAGACAACATTTAAACTTTTGGCCCTGGATAATAGAAGCCAGGCTGCTGTGAAACGTTCTCTGATGCGGGACTCAAAATAACAAGAAAAGCCTTTGGCGCCTGAATTGGAGGGAGATGTTTGTGTGCTTTACGACCAGATTTCCTCATCAAAGCATTTATGTCACTGATCAAAAAAGTCCGAATAGAGTAAATGAAGGAGTTATAGAGTTGCACCGCCCAGTTTTTGGTCACTGAGCCTTCAGTCAGTGAAGCCGACTGCGAAAGCTTTGAAGTGGCCACCATTTCACATACAGTACGAGAGCAAACACAATGTCTTCGGTGTTTACAGCCAGATTCTGAGAGGAGTTCAATATCAAAAAAGACGATTAGAAGAGCTGAGCTTGAGGAGTCAGCTGTCTGAATTTGAATTCAGAGTGTAAAACCTAAATCTCAGTGATTCTTAGCGCTACAAAACAACAAGAGTGCAGTAACGTGGAGTTATTTGTACTTTCATTGTTTCACGTGTTCAAGCATATTGTTTATGAGTTGATGTGGGCAGATAGAGTTGGGAATTATGCTGCTCTTCTATAAGAACGTGGTTAACATTTTGCCCTGAGAATACCATTGTCAGCTCGATCTTACCGTGAGCTGCCCTCTGTCTCCTCCGCATCTCTAGTTGCTTCTTCAACTCAGCTAAAGGAGAGAGAAAAGGAGATTGAGTACGACAAGTGAAACAGTCTCCCCAAGAAATATATGTCATAAAAAGGCAAAGTAAATATGCTTTTTTGTTTTAAAAGGTGTTTGTCTGCTGTTACTTATCTAACACTCTGCTACAGCCACTAAACCAACCTGAAAACAATCGACTTAAGTTTACAACATTAAAGAACAACTTGATATGGATCCTTTTTATTCTTTCAGAACTCCTGCCAACACTGAGGTGGCATGGTGGTGTTGTGGTTCGAACCGTCGCCACGGTGCAAAGACATATATGGCACTTTAATTAGTGATTGCAAATTGGCTGTGAGAGTGTGTGTGAGTGTGCATGGGTACAACTGATGAATGGATGTGACCAAGATACATACTAGGCAGGATGTTTTCAGCTTGGGCTGGAAATTCCACCATTCAGAGGCTTTGGTTGACAAACTAATGCTGACACTATTTCTAAAAGCTTTTAAACTAATTTTAGCAGTTTGGTTTCTTCTCAGCCAACCTACAGTATAAACAATACAGATATATCTGCAATGAATAAATATTAGTTGATATGTTGGCCTGGCATAGATCGATTGCAATTCAGTGTCCACTATTCAAAAGAAATTTCTCACAGGAGCCCTTTAGACCCTGAGCTCTTTAACCACACAGAAACCAGAACATGAGAACCTCTATATAGCAGCAAAACCAACTTAATCTTCCTGATTTAGAGATGACTTGACCTGGGTCAAGATATTTACATCAAATCCACACAAAGTGGATATTACAGTGACATAGGATTGCACTTCTGTAAAAGATATCCTTACTAGTACAAGTCTACAATCCCAATGAAGCAACTCTACAGTGTTTCTGATGAGACACCTTTGTTGCCTGAAGGCCAACTTCTGTCGATTCTCAAATTTTGCCTTTTTTTATGCAGGCTTTCTGTTAAACGTTCACGTGTCCATGTCCAAACTGAGATTAACCTGATCATCGGGGCTATTTTTTCAAAACTCAGAAAGCTCCCTCTAGAGGGACACTAGAGACAACAACTGTTGATTTGAGCTGAGCAGAATTCCTCATAATGAGTGAACAGGACTTTGTGTATTAAATGGTGACATTATAGCTCACACATGTACTGTCTTCACATGATTCTTTGAGTTAATAGAATTTAAGCTTCTTGCACTAATGAACTTGCCATTGACTGTTCTTCCAGAAAATCATCCTAAGATAGGACATACTGCTGTGTTACAAATGTCCACAGTCCTCAGAATGAACTCTTGCGACTCCAGTGAGCCAGGAAGCAACATGAGGGAGGTTTTTGGGTCACTGCCTTTCTTGTGGCAGTAATACAGGGCGAACATATGGGTAAGTAATTCATGTCTGTCCTCCTGTTTTCACTGTCTCTCTTCCCATACTTGAAATAGTTAATTACCCTATTGACATTGAATTTGTGACATGCATCGGTGGCAAAGGTCAGTTGTAAAGTAAATGGACTAAGACCTATTCTGTAGGGCATTTTTGAGGACATTTATATCCACACTAGAGGATCACAGTAGATGGTAAAGGAACATTCAGGGATATGTTTTCCATGAGACAAAAAAAAAGGATATTATTTCATGCTGAGATCGAAGATCAAAATGCCAGATAGTGAATGAAGTGAATGACCAGGGTAATTACGAGGCAGACTAAAAGATAAAAGAGGCAGTGAATGGCAGTATCATCTGTGGTGAGTTTCCATTACAATCCCTCAGGTCTCATACACATGTAGACGGTGCTGTGCTGCTGCTCTCTCTGTAACACGATCCTATCGCCAATCGAAAAGCTGAGGTCAAAGCTCCAAAAATGAGAAATCCAGATGAAGTATTCACTCGGAAAAAAAAAAATGGGTGTGGGGAACTACCTTTTCATGCAACACCTCTTATGGTGCCATAAAACTGTTGGATTAGAGTTTGTGCTTTGTCGAAGCGCTTGCATTTACTCAGCCTTCTTCTGCAGAATGCTCCAGAGCCGCTTGCCCGTGCAACCAGCTCATCTTTCAAAACTCTTTACAAACACTTTTCAAAGCAGACCACTATTTAGGGTTTCAGTAGACAGTGCAGACATGAATGGATGATGTGAAACATTATCAATGACACACACACAGACATATAGTGCCTATGACGACAGTGTTTTTCCAGATTCCTTTGGAGTATGAATCACCGTGTTGGGAACCCCTCACAAAGTCATGTGTTTGGGTAGCTGAGAATGTAAATGAACTGAGACGCCCTGTGGCTTCACATTGTGGTCAGGTAGGCAGCCTGAGTCTTCTCTAACAGACACTGTTCTTTCAAACCAGACCCACAACTGACTGATGCAGAGTCTAGTTCTTTCATAACAAATGCGCATTAAAAGTATTTATGCCATGAGGATGCCATGATGACAGGGTGAAAAAGTGCAGGGAGCACTTGGAGGCAACATAAAGGGCACATGGGGCAAACACCACCCATGTGGCTTACATCAGTCATGACATGTACTGGAGCTTCTCAGAACCCCACGGCCCAGCTACAGAGCACAAATGTCATGATTGGATTTTTTTCTCATCTCCATTTATGTTCCTTCTCAGTAACTTCTTAAAAATGCAAACTGTATTATAGAGCAGTATCATGTAGTAGACCTTCGCTGTTGTGGCCACAGCATTGTTTGGTACATCGTCAGCTATGTTCTGTACTGCTGTTAATAAGTAGAGAAGCTGGTACACCCAGCTCTCTTAGTGCCAACACATAGCAGCGAAGGCTCAGACAGGTGATTATGACTGTAGTCACTAGATGGCAAAGCTACTGCTGAGACTGTAGCTGTGGTCGTATCTGTGCTTTGGATGTGGTGATTATGGCCGTGACACATCAGCTGGCTCAGTGTTGTTTTGTTGGCTAACGTTCTGTAGAGCAGTTACAGGACAGCACATAAACATGGATTTGACCATCAGTGCAGCTAAAGTCCACAGCCTCAGCTTCACCCACACACCAGCCACAGCTGCAGCTGTGCTCAGCCAAGGGCTGCAGAATGCTGGAGCCCAGACTTTTGAGAGGACTAATGAACAATGAATGCATAATGTAAAGAGTCCCATCTTCTATTCTTTCTGTAGCATCTGCAGAAAGAAGAGGGACTGTGGCAATTAATTTGTCTTAAAACTAGTGCACATGAAAACCAGACACACACACATGATATGAGTGCAGAGAAAAGCATCCACAAGAGGAAAACCATTCTGCTCCACGTGCACAAATGTGGACACTTGCTCACTTGTTGAGTTGGTGTTAAAGACTTTGCAGGCAGGACAGTGTCTGATAACTCTACTCCTTTGATCAATGACTTTCAGCAGCCACTGTCTCTGACCCTGTGGCAGTGGTGGAAGAAGTTTTCAGATCTTGTGCTTGAGTAAAAGTAACAAAGCACAGTGTAGAGACACTTTTAATATCATTAATGTCCATCCATCCATTTTCTATACACCGCTTTATCCTCACTAGGGTTGCATTTGGGCAACATCCATATTGAACAGACAATTGGAAAAAAAGCTGTCAGTGTTTAACAGTATTTGTTCATTCAGTCAGTAGCTCCATCGCTAATCAACACAATTCATACATATGCCATCACAGGAGCAGAGTTATACAAACTGCTAACTGCTGTTTTCTCCACTCGAATCAGGGGCACGCGCCTGATTTTTATGTGAGCTGGTGTTGAGACTAATTAAAAGCCATCTGGGACCCCCAAAGTGGCAGCACATTAGAACTGGACTGGAGCAACACATCAACTGTTCATTTGGATGAAGGGGAAATCCACCACATTCTCTTTTATAGGAACATAAAAGTAGTTCTGAAATAAATTCATCATGGCCCTAAGGAGACTCGCATTTACATACAGAGTAATTTATCAGACTCCTGGTACAATAGATGGAAGTACTTCATGCCTGTGATGTACTACTGACCCTAGATGCAGCCGTCTCAGTATTCTGGTCATGCAATGTTAGATACAGTGTAAAACATAAACTTTGTTGCCTTTGGCCAACTACTAACAACATAGATATCTCAGTGATTACGAAAGAGTCACACATTACTGACTCTCAGAGTGGACAGCCTGTTGTAGCACCAAAACTAACCACACATTTAACTGTGTTTTTCACTGTAGCGGACAAAAAAATTCCAAAAATATTAACGTGCATACGTGTCAAGTAATAGTGGGGTGCTAAATGCAATACTTCATCCTCCTTCAATGCTCTCATCCTCTTCCCAGGACAAGACTGTGGGCTCGACACCATAACCTCTTCCAAACCACACAGGGTTTCCCCCCCACACTGTCAGGAGACGTGCCGTCTTCTTTAAGGACCGGTTTCAAGCTACAAGCCTCAATAAATATTTCGTGCTTTTTGTGGCCTGGAGGTTAAACGTGATATACCGCATAAATACCGAAGTGAGCTCAAAATTCAAGCATCATACATACAATCCAGCTTCTTAATGTCTGAGTGAATGTCAATTTAAGTGTGTATGAAGAATTAATACATCATTAAGTCCACAAAGTCATATGAAAAGTCTGAAGGAGAAGGTTCACAAAAATGATTAAACTAATAAAGCACAACTGTAAGTGCTGCATAGAGCAAAAATAGAAGAAACATAAGAGGACGTTTAAACTAAGATTTGTACTAAACATTCTACGTTTTATTGGACAGCTGTGTTCATGACAGTGTTGTCTGAGGCCATAACTTCAACCATGGACTTTATATAAATCACTTTAATGAGCAGCTGATAACATTAGTACTGCAAGTAAATCATAGCAACAGTCATGTAAAATCTAGCTTATGGTTTCACAGACCATGTGTCATGTGTGATGCAGAAATCGCATTACATTCTTCCTGCCGTATTTCTTCTCAAAAGTTTTGGAACGGTCCTCTTGGTAATGGCATACGTTTCAGGCTCCAGTACACTTTCCTTGCAATCTATCTCTGAATCCTTGGGTCTCTGGGTCATTTGTGGATAGGTGAGCAGAGGATGAAAGTGGGATACCTACCAGATGCTCCACCTAAGGCTGTGCTGCATAAATCCCCCCGACATCTGGCAGAGTAATCAAGAGATGCCGTTTATTTCCAGCTGCCATGCACCTTTCAAACTGTAGAGGATGTGCATCAGTGATCCTTCTGAGTAAATATATATCATTGCACTTTCTGGACCTAAGGGCTCAGAACGTACGCTCCTCCAGTGGGACTAGATTCCAGAGCGATACGCTTTGGCCAAGAACAATAGTGTAAAGCAGGCAAATGTTTAGACACTGATGTTTCCTTGGGCTACCACCTCTCCCCTTCTCTCCTGCTACTGACCCTCACGCTGTGGGTACATCCATCAGAAGAAGCGGCACACAGCTTTTGTCTACATTGTGCTAACTGTTTCCATGTTCTGCATTAGCCATGAGACACAGGTGGTGTAAAATTTCCAAGCAGGGCCTCCAAGATGGCAAAGGAATTGCACTGAGCTAAATATTATGGTACCACTTTCCAGCCAGAAGAGGCAACCACCTTCCACTAAAAACACTGTCTCTCATCCAGGAAGAATGCAGCTCCATGCACCTAACAATGTAATAATATTTGACAGCATCAAGATGTTTTTTGGGAATTTTTCCAAATTTGAATAAGATGAGGAATTTGGCTGCTAAATCTCAACACACAAAAAAAAGACAGAAGAAAGAAGTTAAATCCAGTTTTTCCTCACTTTATCCACACAGTGTGGGCCACACAGTGCTGATGTCTGCAGAACACATTTGAAGAGTTAATATCATACATGCTGTCATAGCTGATTTCTGTGTGATGTATGACATACGCAGCTGTGTCAGCACCTCATGGAGCAAATGCTGAAAAAAAAAAAATTAAATTCCAAGGGTGATAAGTGTGTGCTGGCATGTATGAGGGTAACAGGCAAATCCTACCAAACCACCAAGCGTGATCAGAAGCAGCAATGATGCAAGGCGCTGGTGTAAACCTATCCATTTCAATGGCATGTGAAATAAGCCACAAACTCACAGTCCAGGGAAATTCATAAATGTGGCTTGCAGTAGTAAATGCAAACCAGATAGAGCCGTAATAACATATTTTTAACTGCTCTTGAGTTTACTGGAAAATCCAACCAAAATACCATAATATCATTTAAACCTATTGCCACCAGTGACAGGACTTGTCTTTTAGTGTCCCTGTGAAATGCAATGGATTATGATACATTGCTGAACTTCAAATTATTATAGACGCATTTCTAGCTCATTTCTAACCCAGTACTTTGACTGATCTTTTGTATCTTACTTAAACAAAAATAAATAACACACACACTATGAAACTCAAACAGTTTTTTTTTGGTCTGTGTTTTTCACTGCAATATAAAGTCCTGAACCTTCATTGAACCAAGGCGAGAAGTGGAAAGAACTAAAAAAAAGAAAGTGTTTTGTGCAGTACAACACAGTAATAATGCAATGGAACAGACAAAAATGAGTTAAAATTGAATTTGATGACTTGTTTTTCAAAAAATGGAATCAGTGTGTCCAACATATCTCTACTGGTGCCTTCATGTGTTCCCACTATGCTACGGATCGGCTATTTGACTATTTCTACTACATTTGTGAAACTACTACAAGGTCTAGGTGCTTTTGACACTACAATTCTACAGTTCATTTGGCAGATGCTTTTATCCAAACCGACGTACATCTGAGAGTAGATAGAACACAAGCAAGGATCTAGGAGGAGAAAACAACCTGGATCAGTGTACTACGATGCACAACAACTTTAGAATGTTGAATGTATCTTCCAACAACTTGCTGGCAACCTGTTCCTCTGTATGCTGTTTCAGTCAAGCATGTTTTATTTTCCTCATAATCTCGCTCATCTCCTCTCTGTTCTGTGTAAACACAGCCTGCAGTTCACCAGAATTTTTTGTCACTTGATCCAATGTCTACAGCTGAGTCAGTCATTTATTCTTAGTTGCTCTGAGGCATGTAGATTAAAGTGATTTTGATGAATGTGACCATTTTAACCTTCTTTTGCTTACCTCTACTGATAAAACCGTATGTTGTGATACATTCCTCGATGGTGGGAAATTACAAATCTGACAATTCTTTTATTTTCTGTTGTACAGTTTCTTTCTATGACAAAGAGTGTAATTTGTTTTTTTTTGTGTTTGTTTTTTTTTTTTTTTTTTAAACAACATGCTTTAAAACCTGAAGGCCAGTTTTGGGGTTCAGACGGTTAACAGGCTAATGTACTTTCAATGGTATCAAAGCAGTGACACACTGTACTATGTAGCAGAGAAACGCTCGACAAAAGACGTACATTTTGGAATCACTCAGCACTGAATGAAGCTAGCCTTTATGCCAGGCTCATTTTGGCATAGTAACACTGCCTGTCAAGGCCATTATTACCCAGGAGAACACAGGGGTGCTTACAGAGTTGTTATAAAACAGTCAGACAGCCTAGTAAAAAGCACAGGTTAGTGGAAATCAGAACACCTCTTGGTCCTGGAAAAGTTCAGGAATGTGTTGAGCAGCATTCCTACACTCTGGGGAAACAAAACCCTAACAATGATGTGTTCATTAACATTTTCTGAGGAAAGGTTTTCTTTAGAATGATAGCAAACAAGAGCAAACTGTAACAGTGAAAAGGGAAATGTGTTCACACCTCTTACATGTAATGGGATTTCTGGAAGGTAGTCCCACTTTAAGACAACTTACTGATTCTGTTTCTGGATTCATTCAGCTGCTCTCTCAGCGTTCTGGTCTCAGCGGATCTGTTTAAAAGAAACTACATGTTAATGGGCCACAATAGCTTAAAAATGGAATAACTCTGAAATAACTAAAAATTGAATGGTTGAAAACATGCAAGCATGCCGACTTCAAGAAGAGCTTGTTTATTTATTTTGCTATTGATGAAACAAAATCAATATAAAATAGTACATAAAACAATGATAGACTACATATATACACATACGTACGATATCTCTGATGGCAAATGAGTCTAAAAACAAACACAACACAGACATTGCCACATTTTTTGCAAGGTTTGCTGATTCTAGGAAAACTCAAGCTACAGCCAGGCTGTATTGACAGCTTTCACTTCCTCTGTAGTGATCAGTTTTGTTTATAATCAAATAATGTGTGTGTGTGTGTGTGTGTGTGTGTGTGTGTGTGTGTGTGTGTGTGTGTGTGCGTACATGACGCTGCTTGATTACAGGACTGAAGGTTGTGCAGAGGACCAGCTCACCTGTGTCCAGTCATCTCCCAGCTCCATAACACTCAGGTTTATTCGACATCAGACCATTTACCCAGACACTTATCAGTCAGCCCAGTCCCTGTTTGATCTATGGCCAGTTTGTAACGCTTGTTTGCTCTGCCCTCTCCCACCTTGTCTTCCTCTAGCAGCTCTGGGACTCCTCCACCACGCACTGTTTCTCTGCCTCGACTCAGCCGAACTGTCAATTCTGACTTCACCAGCTGGATCACCTGTCTGGCCCTCCATTTACATCTCTGCTGGAGTCCCCACCCCCTCAACACTCCTGGATTACACTTCACAGATTCCTGACAGCTCTTTCCAGACTCTAAGTTTTAGCCTTAATGCTGGCCTTGCATTTTGCCAGTTGTTCCCCAGCACTAGCTTAGTCTGTCCCTGTTGTTCTGTAGCATCTAGTATTTCCTGAAACTGTCATTTATCACCGTATATTAAGGAACAATGACACCATCATCAGAGACGATGCCTCAAACAGCTGATGTCTCCAAAAATGAAGAACTCTGATTCTTTGAAGTTCTTTATTTTGATAATTACTATTCAAACATGTTCAAAATATCCTGAATGTATTTATTTTTTTATGTTTAAAGACATTGAAAATGGAAGCGTATGAATGTATTTTATTTTGGGCAATATGAGGATGTGAATTTATCAAACCCATAACATCTGGTCACTAACCTCTGCTTGAGTAGGCTCTTGTTGTCTTCAATGGTCAGATGGTCCTCATGGTCCCTTATGAAGTTCTCAAAGGCCTCTTTCTTTCCCACCGACAGCTGTGGACCTGAGAGAAAAGCATCTGCACTGAGAATAATAATCAGAAGCTACTATTCATGTCACCAGATCTGTGCTAAAAAACACTTGTTAAATCAAGCCCAGCACACAAACAGCCTTCCTTACTAAAGTTCATGCTTGTCATAGTACTGAAACAATCTACTAACTATGGGAAATTATGTCAAGTCCTGCTGTGCAAATTTGAACGCTCAGTCCTGAGCTGTACACGTTCCCACATCCACAGGTACTCAGCTCCAATCTGGCGGCCAGATGCGAGCTAGAGCCCCACTGATATCACTGACCTCCCCCCTGTTACTAAATACACAATTGAGGAACATTAACCTTCCATTCAGTGATTAGAGAGAGCATAAACACAAGTGTAAACAGCAGTTCTGAACATGTCAGCATTACACAGCGGATGCCCCCCTCCGCCCGCTTAACTTTGGCAACTTGCCACATGAGAGGAAACTACATAATTTTGGACATAAAATCCGGCTGACTGTTTTTTAATATGCTTGTAATATTATTTAATGAGCATTTTTATTAAAGCTCCATACGAGCTTCAAACACTGTACTTTCACCAAAGAAACAAACAAAAGTACAACAGTTCGATTACGCAAAGTGTTTTGGTTCTGTTTACCTGTGAACATTGGAACTGATTACAAATGACCATATTTGCTGATGATTGAATTTTCATATGCTGTAAAAAATGAACTGCATAAAGCGACACTGTACTCCTCTGCTATGGAGAAGTAGTTAACTTAATTGGAATTATCAATGAAGGACAGTCATATTTCAGGCTGAATGCATTAAAAAATGCGTACAGACCGTTTTGCTGTAGCAGGTATAACTAATAGTACGAATACTGATGGCTTATTTCCTTTAAGTATCCCATTCCAGTGAGAGAGCATGCACAATACCAGAGTCGTAATGTGGACTTACTTCCATTATGAATGGAAGGTAGTCCTTATTAATGTTGCTGTTAATGTTATGCTTTTCATGCCATTACATGCCAAGATATCTGCAACACCAAAGTTGGTATTTTCACTGAAAAAGGCCAGAATTATATGTAAAGACTAAAACATGCTGGACAGCAACACTTCAGAAGTGCTACATGTAGCAAAACCAGTATTTTTAATGTACATGCTTGTAATATATATATACATACATACTTAATAAACACTGAATTTGTTTTCTCTATCATCAAACTGTTTGCTGTTTCAACGCTTTTTCCGGTAAACAAGCCGGCACTGAGGTATCTATTACTGATCTAATATATAATACAAACCAGTCTGGTTTTGCAGGAGTCTCCTAAATGTCACAATAGAGCCCAATAAATTCCAACCCTAGAAAATGTGGCAAGGCTGTTTTTACCAAAGACATACACAGGTCAGTAACTCATCTGAGATTAATTGTGGGACAGTTTGGAATTTTGTTTCTTTATTTTTGGAAAGTCCTAATTAAAACCAGCAGGCAACTCACAGACAGTGTATGTTGAAGGAGCCAACCTCAACAAATCAGTGTGAGGGTTTCTTGAGGGAAATGCACTCCATTCGACTCTTGTAAAGAGCAACATTCCAGGAATATCTAGGAGTGATATGACATCATAATATGTTGTACTAACATAATTTGTGGGGTAATGAGATCACATAGACAGAAGGCCAACTTTCCTAATTTTTCTTTTCCATGCTTTAAGTGCTGACAAACCACGGAGGTTTTACAGGAGAGGAATTTGTTGTGACTATTGTTTGAACAAATGTTAGAATGAAACACAAGCAAATGAAGCGTGACTGTACTGTACAACATTTTTTTTAAAAGATAAAAAAATACCAAAGAAAACAAACAAACAAAAAAAGCCATTTGCAGATTATGTTTTTTATTTTTTCCAAGAGAAATGATCTCTGGTGCATTTTCTGTCCGTCCTGCTGGCTCCTACGGGGGAATGTGTCCCTACTTGGTTGAAGCTTCTGTTTAGATCACAGAAATGTGTGGAAGGCCTGCTGGAGTCATCAGTGTCTTATTACATGCTAGCAGGATTTACGTTAAGATCTAACTGTCTATGTAAGTCTCAAATCTCCTTTCAGCCCTGGTATGCTTCATACAAGTCATCAGCAGGCTAAATTACAACAGAAACACCTTGTCCATTCATTAGCCATCTTTTTTGCACTATAAAAACACTTCTGAAAAGCACGGGCAAAAGACACTGTCTATCTGTGCCCACACAGGACAATAAATCAAACCCACGGAAAACTCACAGACTAAGCGCAGCACTGTCTGCAATCTACAGTGCACGCGGCAGAAATCCAGTTCTGTGAGGAAATCAAAGTCCTGTAATGTGTGCAGACTGCTTCTGCAGAGACGGTGGTCATCAGAAAACACTCGCTAATGTCCATGTTTTATTCTGTGCTGGCAAAGCTCAGGGCCCAGTACAGAAGGATGTATTATGGAAAGAGTAGAGTCGATTATATGCCATTCAATCAGTACAAATGGTTTCCATGGAAAGTTCATCATCATTATATTTACAGTTAATCTTCAGGGGACAGCAATTACCATCAATGTAACCATAGAGGCTGTTGGCTACAGCACCAGAACCCTCAGATTAAACCTAAATTAAAACATACATAAACATTCAGTGACCCATTGAGCATGAGGAAAGGATAAGTGGAGGGCATTTGTTTTGAATTAGAACAGAGTAAAGAACAATGATCTAATGTGCGTATAGTTTGGTTATGAGTCTCCAAGTGGGTCATGGAAAATAGGCAGTCCAGATGTGAAACATACGATATATGCTGCAGTGTATGGTATAAAAGAGCTGTGTCCCTGTAATATTTTGCACATTCTGTGTATTTAGGGGAAATGTAATATGTAACTGTCAAAACTTTTTGACACCACAGTTTTAACTAAGGCTTTAAAGAAATCACTGACACCCTCTGTGCTCCGGGATTCTACATGGTGAAAGTCAGAAATGTAACAAGCCTAAGAAGTGTCTTCTCTGATGCTCCTGGAACTACTCAATTTGCTCTTAAAAGCTTTTGCTTCCCAAAGTGCAGAGTCTCTCTGGACAACATCAAGGTTTCCCTGCTGGTTAACAGCTGATGGAGCTGGGAGCGTGTTCTGCTCAGAGTGTTGGTCGCAAACAGAGCAGAAAGAGACTGAAATTTCTCATGAAGTGTGAGAAAATTGGGTGAACATTCCAAAGTGGACATGTAACTGTTAGCAAGGGACTGCAGGATCTGGGAATTTTTGTGGGGATAGCAACTTCTCCAAAAAAATAATGGACAGTACCAATATTTTTGGCAAAATGACCTAATTTAGTCATTGTATAGTCTGGTTTAAGAGTGATGTCATGTGTTAGCACCATCAAAGTTCATGACTCCAATGCAGTGTTGCAATTAGTCTTACATTTTTCTCAAGGACCCACAGTATGACCTGCAACAAAACTCGGTCCAGTCAGAATTGCTTTGTTACGGTCACATTTAGGAGCTATTCCAGTGTAGCACTTTCACATTAACAAAAAGCCCCAATACAAACAGTATCGCTACAGTTCTGAAGTAGAACATATAAAGGATATCAATTCATTTGTGTAACTGTGGTTGGTGTCCTGGCAGGAGAAAGATCCATCATAGTACCCGCCTGTTTCCTAACACAGACTGAAAGGCATCATCTCTACAGCAGAGCTTTGACCAACTGTACAAAATTTGGACAAAATTCATATTAAAAGTTAAATAATGTAAGCTGATGCCTCTCCAGAACTACAACAATGCCTTTGAGAACAATACCTTTTCAGTTCTTTCAGACAAGCATCCCTCTGATTCCCTACGCCAATAAGGATAATGACTTTATGATCCTTCACAGATGGAACCGATTTGTTTAAAAGCTCCAACGGTATTTTCTATTACTTTGACCAACTTTTTTGAGAAGAATGTAATTCCTGAATCCCATGTCTTTTGAATGTAACCATAGTCTTATAAATAGCCAGCAGTCTTGATACATTCTTTATTAATAAGCATTTACAGGATTATTTAATGCATCTCTCTCTTTAACAATAAGGTTTGTAATTCTGTCGAGGGAAAATGTGAGGAAAATACGAGGATGAGGTGGTTGATTAGAACATCATCTCACTCGTCTCCAGCTGACCACGTCTCAAACGTCACAAATAAAATCTGATTTGGACCTGACATGCATTTTTTCTTAACTAGCAGCTGCTACAATGAACTATATACTCGCAAACTTTATTTGTACTGGGGCACATCAGTAGCAAGGAAATAAATGTGATTAATTTGTTATTTAGGTAATTAAAGCTTGTTAAACATAATTTTTATGGCAAATTTCTCCCTAGAGTCTACATTTGGAAGACAGTTTAGTTCAATAATGTCTGAGCTGCTACTAGCAGCTTCAGAGAAGGTTGAATGTAGGTCAGAGTCAGTGAGGACTGAATGCATCATTATATACGGTTGTGCTTCACAATGCCCTTGCTTTATAGATAATACAGATAATTACATACAGTCACAGTAAAACTGAAACTAATGGCAAAATCATGTAGTGACACGGCAGCCATGTTCACTAATGTCTTCGGTGGAATAAAACAAATTCTGTGATTATTTGTATATAGTAATTTACAAAACAAATATAGTATATAATGTGTAATCTGTATAGCAGCACCCACTATAATCAGATGTGATGTAACGGTTTACTGTAACTGCTGCCCATGCTGTTAGCAGCTCATCACTGAAAGTGTAATGTGGGGAAAAGTGGATGATCATGTATGAAATGTTGGGGATTGTGTATGATGTGGACTTGTCCTTGTACTTATTTTCTACTGGGCTGACATTTAATTTTCCTACTGGATTATATTGAAGGATCTCTCAATATGGGAGGAAGCTGCAATGAAAAGGTCATTATAAAGCAGTATTGTTGATCCTTGCCAAAAGTAACTTTGTGAAACATTTGTTCAGGAACTCAAGGAGCTAGAAAAGATATTTCTCAGTGACTTATGCTTGCAAATCTTGAATAAATAACCTCCCTGAAACACCTGTGTTGTCTCCTATGGTCATAAAGTAGCCGCATAATTTACATCTTTTTTTTTTTTTCTTTTTTTTTTAGATATTTGGATTTAGCATATTCTTAAAGCTGCAGTAGGCAGAAATCTGGAAGAAAAAAAAGGCAAAATCAAAAAAACTAACAAAAAAGCAAAACTACTCACACTAAAATTCATTCATGCGTCCATTTGTAGCTTCACCTTCAGCCCCTGCCATCCCAATCAAAAGTCCTCTGTCTGTCACTTTGATGCTAATTCAACTATATTACTTGCTCTATGTGACTTGACACACAAGCTAGATTTTTTTAAAGCCTGAAAAGAGAGTCAAGAGAAGATGAAGAAATATAGTTTCCTCTCAGACTACTTGAAATACAACATGCTGAAAGATTAGTATGACATTTGTTTTTCTGATGATGGCAAAAAAGACTGCATACCCCTGCTTTAAATGATCCTGGCTGCATTCAGGAGGTCAAACTAAAACACTGGTTGTTTTGTAGGTAAATAGTATTGATTTGTCTGGTCAAAAAGGCAGCCAGCTGTGGCCATTGTGAATAAATACATTGCTATGGGTCAACCCTGAGGAAGTGGAATCCATGGACATCATCACATTAGATACATTTGGAAAAAGATGAGAAAAGAGGACTTAAGATGTCAGATGAAAACAAATCTTTTGGTGGGATGATGCAGCTGATAACATTAGCTCCATATTTGATTGCACAGCTTCTAAACATGACACGTCATTTATCAGTGATTTTATAAACTCCTGTTCCTCATAGTGCTGCACTTCAGTCTTTCCATAGATGAGTGATTTGCTCACTAATCCTGACCGGACAGAGTTGAGTCGTACTTGGTCTGTGCTCCTCTGTCAGAGACGCTGATTTGCTGGCTTTAATACTGTAGTGGGCACCATTACACAAAAATGTCAAAGAGGATGAGGGAGCTGTGGTCAGGACAGACAAGGAGCGCAGCCTCAGTTTGATGAGTTTCTGGCTCGTGCCCATGTCCCCGACGGCTATGACCGAGCTCGTTATAGGAGCTCAGGTTTATCATCACACTTAAAGCTCCGCTTAACCAAAATTAAACAGAAAAAGCCAAATAAACGCTGCCTCTGGTCAGGGAGCATGTCTGAAAGCTTGATTAGCTTGACTTTTGGCATCGCTGTTACGTTTCAACCAAGGTCATGTTTAAAAATGTTATAAGATTACTATCTAAGAGAAGCTGCAGTCTGAAGTCTCTGCAACTTATCCTGTGGTCTTTGGGTCATCATCATATGTTTCCATCAAAGGTTTAGATAACCTAATCAACTGCAACACTGTGATGACTCTCAATTCAGGACATGTAAGAGTAGCCTGCAGTTACACAAGTCAAACAGGCTGCTGCTTAATTAGGTAATTCTTTCAAGACTTCCCTGTGCTTATTTGCCAAAAACGAAAAGTAGTAAATATCCTCTGGCATGTTTACCTATATAATATACTGTATGTATTATTGCATTAGAATAAAAGAATATAAACAATGCATTTAGCAGTTCTTTATAAATGACATAGAGATGCTCTCTAAACAAACCCAGTGCTTTCTCAGATGTAGTACGTCCAGGTTTTCTATCCCGCTCACGTCTCTTGTGTTTACACTGCAACATTCTTGGTCTCTGTTCTCTGCTTCATGTTCCAGTAAGTATTACAGGTTTTAAACTCATCAGCTTTTCATCAGCAACAAATTACAGGTTTAATATACTGCACTGTCTAATGTTGTTTTGCTGACATGACTAGATTGGGCCACTTGAGTGACCTCTAAAAGGAAACTCTTAAGTACATGCAATCCCACTGATGCTGCCGTGTAGAAAATAAAGCAATGTAAGAAGTTCTGGGATGCCGGACTCTTCGCCGTGCAGTCGAATCCAGAAATCAAGAATTTGTTATGGCCCACGGGCACCCAGAACAGGCACACTGAAAATCCGCATGACCACAGAAAAACTGCCCACATTCCAACTGAGAGAGATCACCTGTCTGTAGGCTTAGCACCTAATTTATCACACGCTTAGAAAGACTGACTGTCACATTTAATGGAGTCAACATCTGTGAAAAATTTATTTAATTTATACTGTGCTTTATTAGTCCCTGTGGGATGGGACCCATTCTTAGCATTTAGTAGCAGTGAGCAGCCACAGTGCAGTGGCATGAGCCAACTCCGCTGCTGAGGAGGATTACCTTATAACTAAAACGTGCGCATTTTGGGGTGAGAAGGAACACATGATGACTGCACACAGAATGGCCAGTTGTTCCTGATAGGGTTCAAACCTGGGCCATCTTATTAGGGCTAAATAGTACGTCAAATAAATGAAACCGTGGCTATTCTGAAAGATATTTCAATGGTGCTATAAGCCACAATTTTAGAGGGGGCAGTCATTTTTGCATTTCCTTTCCTCATGAAATGAATCCAAAGATAAAATTGTGATTTTTGCTGCAGCCTGTACTAAACAACCATGTTCCCTTACATCTGGAGAATATGATTTGTAGGCCGGAGCATCTCTGTAGAACCACAATACTTCATTTCTAATTATATCTTGACACATTTTAGCTTCTTTAAAAAGCTGCACCTTCTGCAATTTAGACACTGTAGTTGACTATATTGCATTTCAGTAACATTCTGATTAAATGTCCAGTCTTAGTTCTCACTATGAAATAATAACGGAAACCCACTGAGCCATCATACTTTGTAAACAGTGCAATTAGAAAGGGTGGTTAAATCAAATTTGAAACAACAACAGACAAAACATTATATAAAATACCGTATCTAACCACACAGATAGGTTTGGCTTCATGTGTCACTCTCTTGAAATGGGTTTGTAGAGCTAGCAGTAAAGGAAAAATACATATTGAAAAAAACTCAGCAGCAAGACCTTTTTCCAGAAACAGTGGATAGTCGACATTGCTGTGGATTTCAACTGAAAGATAGCTCTGATTGTTTTGGTTGGAGGCAAAGTCTGACATCTCAAAACCAAGGAAACAAAACCAGGACTATCTGGTTAGATAGCCCGAACTGTAAGTTTAAGGAAATGTGTTTCTTGTGGTTTGGTTAAACCAACCATTTATGGGGTGCCCTCATTATATGGCCATAAATTGCTGGGCTAACAATGTTATCTGGAAATGTCTTGACTAACAGAGCCACAAAGACGCAAATGGCAGAACCACTCAGTTCAAGCTGGACCCCATTTGTGCTTAGAGTCCCAATTTCAGTTACAGCAAGCTTTAAAATATTATTTTAAATGTTCAAAATGCTTTTAAAAAATTGTTCTGAAACACAGAAAACAGTTTTTGTGAAGTACCTCTCTGCATGTACTGTACTGCTCGTCCTGCATGGTTGGCTGAGACAGTGTCCATGCTTCCTTCTTTCAACAGCGGCATCGTGGACACCCTCGAGGCACTCTGGGGGGACGCCGTCTGGTCACTGGTGATGTTAGCAAACTGAGCAGCAGCATCCTCGGCCCCTTTTTTCTCCTTCTTCAACATCTTAATGAGGATGCCTGTCGCACCAAGTTAAAGACTATAATTGTGTTTTCTTTGGACAAATTACTGGAGCAAAAAGAGACCTTTCACTCAAACACATCAAACACCTTATTTTAAAAGAGGTTGACTGCTTCGACTTTGATGCACAGATAAACAACAGTGTCAACCTGAATATCACCTGAGACACCCTTCACAGTGTGAGGACAGCTAGACAGTGCCTCTGAATATTCCAAACAGAGTTCATTTTTAACTTAATCGTCATTAATACAAGCTCAAAAGTGACAATATTAAGTGCAGGAGTAGCCTCTAGAGTCATTTCCTCAGCGCTGACATGTGCTCAGCATCTGACCTTAGAGGCTTGGGAAGGTGTCGTGATCTGGGATGAATCAGTGGAGGGAAGAGGAGCCAGACAGGCTGCGGAGATCCTGCCAAGATTCCACAGAATCCTCTCCCACTGATGAGGTCGTATGTATGTGCTTGTCTACTGGAGTCCAAGTGTAGATGTGTCAGTAAGTGTGACAGAGAAAAACTGAGCAGCTACAAGGGGAGAATGTAAAAACCTGTCTGCTTAGATCCTGTTCACACTTTTATTGCCATGACACGTTTCACTTGTCCATATGCAATGTCTCTATGCGTTCCGACACTTTACTGTAATCGTTTCCTTCACTCCATCATGTGCCGTTTGCTTCTAACTCCACAGCACCGCTTTGTATTTAATCGGTTCCTCCTACTTAAACTGCTTTCAGCTGACCTCACACATTTTTTAGTAATATTGCAGTTGAGCACAATAGCGTTCAGCACTTTTAAATTGGATTATCAAATTGACACCTGGTTTGCTAAGCTTCTGCACACCATTTACAGACTTTTTTACAGCACTTTTTACTGTACAGCGGCAGCACACTGCTTTTTCCACTACCGGTGAGAGAGGAAACGATGGTGCTAGCAGAGGCAATTTTTTACATTCAGAACTTCTGACAGATGGAATCTTGTTGATTACATGAATAAAATGAAGAAACTGTATAAGGAAGCACATGATGAAGACATTTTTTTTTAAAGATTGTCTTCTGATAGAAAAGGAACTGAAAGCAAGAAACCAAAGCTCATCAAGGAGTAGCAGGTAAATGGAAAAAACCTTGGCCAAAGTTCTTCCTATATGAAGGATGCTTGTGAAAAAGAGTGTTCAACCTTTAGTTTTGACCTTTATATACATTGCTTGTATATGAATAAAACATTACATCACCATAAAATATTCATCTACCTCCTGCCCCGTGTGCCTGCTTTTCCACTGTACTGTAAATGGAAGTGTGTCTGATGGCCTAATCACAACCCATAATTTAGAGTCACACAACACATTAGTCTGTTCCTCAAGCAGTTTCCTAACATGAGATTAGCAGACATCTAGTTGTGGCCAGACTGTAACTGTGGTGGTCATCAGATAATTTGGGATGTTCAAAGCAAAAAAAAAAAACAGAATGTCATTATTTGGATGATGAATGGACATTTTTGTGACGGAGCTGGAGAAGTTAATTTATACTCCTGTCAGCCTATACAAAGGGTATGTCAGTGGGAACAATAACATGGAAGAACCACGTCTCCAATTACAGTTTCCAACGAAACCAACCATGCAGTCTTCCCAAAACTGCCAAAATCTAAACCCAACACAATTCCAAATGACCTATAGAAGCCAAGTTTTACAGAAAAAAACATGACTGTTTCTGTGGGTCCTATGTCATTGTTTCATACAAGTCATTACTCCAGACTGCTGTTCACCAGGTTTTTCCATTATTGAGATCTCAGGCATCTGATATCTTCATTTATGCTGAACGCTACCATAGACCTACAGTCTATGGTAAAAATGTATGTGAGATCTGTGGGCTGCTACACATGCGATGCACTCAGAATGCTGTGGTCAGACACAGCTCATGATGTGCTCTCCTTCTCATCTTTCTTGTCATTCTCTATTATACTGTTCAGGAAAGCACAGAAAATAAAGAAAATGCCTTTAAAATTATTAGCTGACAAAGATGTGGTGTCACTTTCAACGGTGCCACAAAAGACTCCAACTTCAGTGTACCGTACAATGTACAGAAAGTAATAGACATGTTAAGGAACATGCCCTACTCTTGAAACAGTCACTACAATAACAGCATGAGAGGAAAGTTGGTCAAAACAATTAGAACCAGCACCTTTGCTTAATTTTGCCCTCAGCCAGGAGAAAGGATGTTGGCAAATGATTCACGGTCAATCTCTGTCTAAGAGCAGGCCAGTTTCTGCTTTCTACCAAAAGTTAGCATTAGTTTATTCACTGTCATTCCCTGAAGTACTTCACAAAGATTGTTAACCCCTGATAACGTTCATATTTCTGAAACATAACTTGTTTCTAAACCCAACCAACTTCTATTATTCATAATTTCACCTGAAGAACACATAACAGAAATTCAGTCTGTAACAGCTCCACAAGTGTAGGTTGAAAATCATCAAGCAGGAGCTCTATGGACACTTGGGAGAATTTTGAATTACAAAAAAAAAAAAAGTAATTCTACAACTCTATCAAGTTTGGTGCCATATGCATTTTAGTCATAGTAGCACTAAGAAGCCTCTTTGTTAAATGTGCCCTGAACCTGTAAAAAAGTGACAGTGTCCTGCATTTTTTTTTGACAGATACAGCCTTCAGATCCATAGTATGGAAAGAGTTAACGACAGTGAGCTGAAAATCATTTCATTTTTGCAACAGTGATTTTGGAAGGACAACGGTGATGGAAAGCACTGACTGATAATCTTGTCCTACTGATAGGGGTGTCAAATGTTTCACCCTCAACAGGACATCACCTGTTTCACTTGTCTTGTCGTTGCAGCACTTGTCATGATGTGCTTCAATCAACATGAAATGTATTGTGATTTGTGCTGAGTTATTAGTTCCTCTGCTCATTCTTCATTTCAAGTGTTTGTATGAGAACATTCAGTAGAGCAAAATAAGCCTCAAATGTTGTTAAATTTCAACATGACGACAACATGGATGCAACTTTGCACATATAATGACAATATATAGACACCAGTTCTTGTGGTGGTATAAATGAATCAACATCACCATTTTGTCTTGTCAAGAAAAGCAAAAAATGACCTTGGCTTGTCACACTTCAGGTCATTAGTAGATGATGTTAGAGACCTGAAAAGTTGGTGAAATGTCGACCAAAGGTTGTATTTCTAGTAGACTAAAATATTTACAGGAACTCTCTAGGGGCCAAATACACCCTTATTTGCAAATTTGTGTCTATTTTCCCATTTTCAAGGGTCAATAATTAATAATTTAGCATCTGCGGGAGACATTCAGTCTTCAGTTTATCTGTGTCCTCACCAAATTTCATTGCCATTAGAGTAATATTTTTTGGAGATATTGAAGCCTTAAATGGCTTTCTAGGTAAGAATTAAATGTAGGTCTCAAACAGCAAGTAAACATGGAACAAAATCTGAAATGGTGCAGCAGCACTGCTGTTTGAAATGATGCCGACTGACCCCAGTGTTACAATCAGCTCTTCTGTGTTGCTTCTGCAAACAGAGCACTCGGCAATGAGTGGGTTTATAACTACAGCAGTATTTACATGTCATCAGCATAATCCAACATCAGGCAAACATTTCCAATCTGCAAAAAGACTTTTTAGGCAATTTCACTCAATCAGCACTCATTTGTATATATGCAAATATTGTGCAGCTGGCAGCAAACCTAAACTCTTGCCTGCATCTGTGTTTGACCATTTGAAATTCTGCACATTGCTCATAAATACAGAGTTCTCATAAAACTCAATCTGGATGAGCTACACAGCTGACTCACACTGCAACAATTAGATGTCAGAAACCAGCAAACAATACAACTCTCCCAGTTCTGATTTGACTGTTCCACAGGATGACACATTTGCATATTCATCAACACTACAATAGGCTATAATAATAATTACACATCAAGCTTGTTGAGTCCCTGTTTCATCAGACTCAGAGGTACACAAACACAGCTTTCAAATACGTTGACTTGTCATGATAGGTTTCCCTTCTCAGAAATGATTAAATATACTCAGTGTTGTTGTTTTTTTTTACAAATCAATAAAGCACAACTTAAACCAAGGCTTCCATCCCTTCTGGCAGTAAATCAGAAAATGTTCATCTGCTGGTGGTGCTGTGTAAAATGCCATGGTATTACCAAAATCAGTAGGATGAATCAGTGATGAATTTTCTATCAACCCATCTTCTATACGTTCACACATTTCACTGGGGAACCAAACTTGGCATCCTAAAACAGGGAGTATAAGCATCTCCAGTCAAGTACATAAAACACTGCATTGATGAGATCCAGGGTTGTTTTTTTTTCAGTGGAGGAAATAATCTTCAAGCAATAGATTTTATGGCATTTTTTGACTGAGGGAGATTTTGAGCAATAATGCCTCAATGTAAGAAATCATAATGAACAATGGCCAGAGTTGTTAAGGGAATCCAGAAAACCTTTAAGAATGCAGTAAACACAGTGTGTGATAAATTCTGTGCCTAATCAATTATATTAGCTAAATCTCTCTTGGAAACAATCAACGCATGTTGTCCAAGAGAAAATAAAAATGAATAAGATGCAAGCTGGAAATAATACCATTCACCTTTTCTACCTGAAAATTTAGTTTTCCTCTTTATATCCCTGGAACATTGCCCCAAGACGGTATTTTCACCCGTGTTCCACTTCAGATGTTAAATTTGATAAATGAAAGGCTTACTTCTGTCAAGCCTCTTCATGATAAATCCCCAAACCTAAAGAATAGGACATGAATGTGCAGTTTGATACTCAAAACATTTCAGTGGTAGCTAAGAACTTTGAGTAAATTCTATATCTTGCACACGTCTGTATGTTACAGCAACACTTGAAAGTATACTGTAACAGAGATGCTTGTGTAATAGTATGCAGCAACCGCATACAATACGTAGCACTGATGCATCAAGGGTAATTAAACTGCCAAGGGAAAAATAAACTGCTGAATGCAAGGGGTCTCAGCCGGCAGATAAGATAAATCTCGCCTTTACAGCTCCGCTTTGTAATTTATTTATGTGCGACAGAATGTGGAGACATCTAAATACTACCTGGTATTTTTATGTGGCATTACAAATGTGTGTGCTATGTTACTCTTAAAACACTGCAGTGTTTGTTGCTTCTCCTTGTTGCTCTCTCATCATGTTAGTGGTGGATTTATCATCGCTCTAGCAGAGTCAACTAAACATTACCAGGTGCCCTAACTTCTGTGTAGAGTCAGCCATGCAGGGGTAGCGGGTAAGAGTACACAATTTGTTTTACAGGGAACTTTCGCATCATTAACCTTGTGAGAAAGTAGTCACACTCGATGTCAGTGTGGGAACAGTGGGCACAGGAACCAACGGCTTCACAAGCGGCTTTAACAGAGTAGAGTTGAGGAGGTGGGACAGTTACTGTATACAGACATGTAGAGCATGGTGATTATTTAGCGGATACAAGTTGGAATCTAGACAGTTATTAGGGCTTTGGCTGGGAATGATGTCACCCCTACAGCCTTGGTCAACCCAGACTATAGTGTTACATACTACAGACAGACCACCCTGACCGAAGGATTGACAGTTTAGGCTACTGAAACTTTATATACAAACTTCACCATGAAAGAACCGAGAGGCGACATGGTCAGCAGAGCGTGTGCATTACTGGCTGAAATAAGTGCCTTGAAACACGCACAGTGGCAACTTAGGCAATTACATTTGCATAGTATGAAAACCAGTGTATGGAAGTTTGAGGGAGATCTATAAGGAAGAGAGGAATTCACATTATGCATGCTTGATCCAAGAAATACTACAGTGAAATATGTGCATGATAATACCATATTTATTTTGGAGAGCTGAGGTCTTTCTGGTTAAATAATCAAGCAGACATCTCAATTTTCCGACTAATATGCTATGATCTAATGACAAGCCGCAGCAAGAGGAGCTGAAGGAAGAATAATTGCACAAAGCCATTAGATATATCATGTTCAAACACAAATACCATAATTATGATTAATAGTAATTATGATGAACAGCAGTCATTAGCTGAAGCTATACCATAATATACACTAAAACGAGATTTCGTGTGTTTTGTGCGACACTGGTGATGAATGTAAGACTACTTACATTTCAGCGCTGTAATCCAACCATACTGTCAACAGCGGAGACAGTTAACCTTAACACCAAGGTGTAAATGTTCATGCTATCCGTTTCTTGTTGATGCTATACACTTAAGTCAAAAAGTAGTCACATTCATGCCAAATTTTGATGTAAGGCAAGGCGAAGTAAGACAGTAAAACATTGTGTTAGAGATGTTATAATGAATGCATGCTGTTTCTATGCTTTTTCTTAAAATTTTACTGAAAATGTCACGTCTGAAATTATTCATATCTTTTGAAATTGTCACTAGTTTTTGAACAAAAAATTGAGTTTCTGTACTACCAAAATGGCCCTGGTAATATCTGCCATGTTCAAAAGTATTCTAGTACACTATAAATTTAAAACAGCTGATGCAGTAGCTGTCTGGTCACGTACTAGTCAATTGCAAGTCGTGGTTAAAACTGAAGCGCTTAGTGAGCTGCTATTATGGTCCATCGCTGAGAGAGAGCTGGGCACTGTGGCTGCTCACAAGGTGGAGAAAGACTATAAAGCCGTATACAAGTGTTTTCAACAGGAACAGGAACCTGTGTACCTCATCTAATCCTTACACAAGACAATAGAGGAGATCTGACCAAGCCTGGAAAAGGTAAAGCAAATAAATACTTCAACTGAATCATTTAAATTAGTTATCAAAATGCCATTGGAAGGAAGATGCTGCCACAAGTTTCAGGCCCTCAGCTGTATTAGTGTTCAGATACAGTATTTGGCCCATCGCTTTATAAAAAATCTGCCACAACAAGTTATGAATCCATGAACCACAGAGGAAAGCACCACATCTGGTTTACATAATTCATACATATTCATACTTTAATTTGTACAAGTCTGTAACAGAATGCAACCTGAAACACAATCACACAAACTGTTTATCTTGAGCATAAGCCCAGCAACTCATTGGAATGCTTTAATTGGAACTAAACTTAGCTGGCTGCACCTTGTCAAAGGATACGAATCTCGCTATCCCGTTGCTGAAGCATCTCCTTTAATTTGTCCACTTCTGCTGCACTGTGGTGGCTGTTTTCTTCCTTTTCTTCTTGCATCCCTGTTGCTGCTGATGAGTCTTGTCCATCACTGTGCTTATTTCTTCCACCTTGTTGATCCAGAATTATAATCTATTAAAAAAATAATTAAAAAAACAAATAAAAGAAAGAAAGAAAGAAAGAAAGACTGCTGAGTTATAAATAAGGTTTCTGCATTTTTTTCTGAAAATAAAACCACATTTGCATGAACTAAACATTTTGTTCGTCAAAACCAACTGCCGATTCAATCAAATGATGTAATTGCTTGAATTGGTGATGTAATAAATCAATGACCTGTCCATGACTTTCCATGACCACAGTGCTGCTTTAGTGTTCACCTCAGTTCTACAGGAGAAAATCTGCTTTCAACTGCAATTGGGTTCATGTTTGAGAAAAACATGACAGTATAAACAAACATGTAATGGCATGAAAAAGAACGAAAAGAAAAAAAAAAACCTCAAATATGATGTGGCATCATCCACTGAAAGTAATGCTCTTCTAAATTCCACAATAGTCACTAAACATTAAATGTCCCTCTTTTCCCTGCATTCTGGAGGCACACCGAAGACGACATGGGAGTTGGTTCAGTTTTCAGTTTCATGTCTAAAAATACACTGCACGTCTTAGCTCCTTAGCTCTCAGTCCTGAAAATATGCATATCCACACTCTGGCGTTGGAACATCACCCTGAAACAAAGACAAGCTGAGAGTTGAGCATGGAAGAGCTACCCAGCATAGAGTACAGAGAACTCAAATTCAAACCAGACAATTCCTACAGGATCACTGGAGTGTGACTATGGTGATGCTCAGAGGAATGTAAACTGAACGGGAGATAGAGTTTGCAGATCATAACAAACTGAAGGACAGATAAACAGTCATTCAAGTGGGATCTGGAACTGCTTCTGGTGGCTGATTCAACTCCAACCAGACCAGAGCCCTGGAGCAGTGTAAGCGCTGCAGTGTTTTCCTTTTGCCCATTAGCAGCAGCGGGCCATCTGCTACTGCGTGAGAAATGATGAATGAAATCTATAACTAATCTGACTTTCTCCAAAAACAAAAACTTTGAGAAATTATGTTTTCTACCAGCATTGTGCACACAATGTGCAAGTGTAAACTTTTTCCAGGGCAGTCTCCATGGCGAACTGGGTAAAGTGCCAAACCAAAATAATGTTCAGGCCCCACTACTATAAAAATACACTGGAACACAAATGTGACCTTAATCATGAACATTGCATACAACAAAATTCTTTTAACCATTTGATGGTATGCACGTACTGGTAAACATTATGTATAAACACTGTCTTTTACCATGATTAATATATGGACATTTGTACTGATTAGCCATTTAAAGCCCATTTTTAGCATATTTCAAGTACAGACAGGTGAAGTGAATGAAGTTGACCATCTCGATGCAATGTTCTCCTGGAAACCATGGGTCCTGGCATTTATGTGGATGTTACTCTGGCAAGTACCACCCACCAAAACATTGCTGCAGACCAAGCATTTCCACCAATGGCATTCCCGCAATGGTAGTAGCCTCCAACGTGCCCCGCCACACTGCAAAAACTGCTCAGGAATGGCTCATGGAACACGGCAAAAAGCCCAAACTCCTTCAACTTCTAACTGAACATCCACGAGATGCACCAGAGCAAGTCTGATCCATGGAGGCCCACTCCACAGTTTATAGGACCCACAGTACCCCAGTGCCATGACACCACAGGACATGGTCAGAAATCCTGTGTCCTGGCCTGACAAGTCAGAGCTGTTTTGGTGGCACAAGGAGAACCTATAAAATATTAGGCAGGTGTTGGCTGAACGTTGTATCATAACTGAGTGCATCAAATACTGTAGGCTCAGTTTCAGCACTTTATTAATTTGGGCTGCGGTTGCTTAGCTGTAATGTAAATTGTAGAGAAAGTCTGGTTAACACATACTCTACATGTCAACATTCCATTGCGCATCTAATTGGATGGCAAACTGCAAAGCATCAAGTGTCTAGACTTAAGTCAGGCTGTGGTGAATATCAATGGCTCTAGGTAAAACTGGGCATCACTGGATCTTACAATATTTGCATTTTTTAACCCAAAACACAGAGAGACAGTGCAATGTCTTTGAGATATTGTAAAGACAAATGTATGTTTTATTAACTGTTATGGATAGTACTATGTTTGCATTGTATTTTCAGTTTCCTGCTCCATTGTAATATCAACAAAATCAGCTATTTCTGTGATAAGTTGACAAGATGATAAAATTCTATTCATGCAAACTGAGGACACTGATGACACAGCAACATTCTGCAGAAGTTTTAACTATATTAAAAAAGAAAGCAATCATTGGTTAACTTTAAAGAAAAACATCTCTCAGATGAAAACACTGGGAGGAGCTATTTAGAGGAAGTGATTGATGTCGGATGCAGAGAAATGATCACGTCTGACATCTCAGTGAATACACTTGCTGTTTCTCTGACTCCCAGTCCTGCACTGTGGCAGTGAACACAAAACTTTAGCTTTAATAAAACAACCAAAACTGAATATATCTTCTGATGTCACACTTGCATGATGATAGCATGAGGTTCTTGTCGTGGTTTATACAGTCATACAGGGAGACAGGCATGCAGATACAGTACATAGAGAATACATTACCTTCAACAGGGAGAAACAGTACTGGATTTTTCTCATGTCTGGTCCTAATGACAGTGTGAAGTCTGGATCAGGGTCATCTAGAAAGGCCTTGACTAGCTCTTCCAACCTAAATACACAGATATAAACACAAAGACTTTTTCATAACTTAAAGGTTAAACCAGTGCCATAATGCATGTTACAGTCCTTCTTCATCACACTTGCTCAACAGGCACTCAAACAGTTCAGATCTGTATTTGAGAAGTTTAAAATGTGGGTCTGGTCAAAGAAAACTATTTACTTAAATGTGTGTTCCAGCTCCCCTGGGCCAGCCTGTTGATAAACTACCACTAAATGACAGTCCAAACATTGGTTCTTCAAGATCTAGAAGCAGCCTCTGGAAAAGACCGAGAGACAGCAATCCAAACAGATCCAATGTAGGCACGCCGACGTGTGGCTTTTATTTTCTGTTATGTGTTCAACATAGAAACATGCAAGGTTTACATGATGAAGGACCGAAAACAAACGAAACGATCTGATTTCAGGGCCCTGTGAGACATCAATGGTTTTGTGATACAAACTTTGATTCTGAAGAGTTCCCTTTGATGTCATGGACAATATTTTATTAGAGGAAAGAAAACAATATTCTAGTGAATAAAGAATGGGAAAAGTCTCCATAATGTTTTTCCAAGGTGTGAGATGATCCATCACCTAATAAATGTAGCAAACTAACATTGCTTTAAAAGATAAAATATTTAACTTTAACTTATACGGGGACAGATTGTTGCTGAACCTTACAAAGTACAGCAATAGTCTTCTTGGGAAATAAAAAAACAGAACAGTATGTTTGAAGATGTACGGGCACTTAAACCATGATACGAGCAATAATTCAGCACAGGGGATGAGTCAAGGCTGGAGAGGAAGCAGCCACAAAAAAGTCAGCATGTCCAGTGATTGTGGTCAGAACAGACATCATTAAAGGTTCCTGGTGTGAGTTGGACCGCAAACATGGGGCGATTGAGGATAATCACCCGCTTCGAGAGGAAATAATAAAAAGACAAACTGTAGGGGTAAGACACGGGAAATACATCAGCACTGGAGGGGCAAGCAGCCAAGTCCTCGTTGAAACCTCTGGCCTAAACTTTGGCCCGGACTCACAGGGTCCCTCTGCCACTTGAGTATGACAGCAGAGATAAAGCAGCCCTGGCTAAGACAGAGTCCTGGGAAGCAGCATTAGATTTGGTTAAGCCCCAGTGAATGAGGCTTTAACGTAACATCGATGCATAGCCAGCAGCATAAGTTATGCAGGCACTTTAGGCAAACCCCAAATACTTGTAAATCATGAGACATGTTTGCTAAAGAATCTGCGGGTTGGAGCTTTACAAATACAACTCAGAGTCCAAAAATGACTTTTTGCTCTCTGGAACTGAAGCACACTGTTAACGACTGAGGGCCCAACGCAGCACTACCTACACCATGCAACATGTGTGTCATGATATGACTAGCACATGTACACACAAAGACATGCTGTACAAACCAGGATTCCATGGCAAAAGGCCTGCTGTAAGCTCCTCTAGAACATTGTCATTTAACTAAAGACATTTGGTTTATTAGCTTCCCTCATCTGTGCATCTGGAAAAAACATCACAAGCTGTAACATCTTGGTAATGTTAAGAGGCTGATTGAATTGAAAGAATGATAAATGATAACATGCCTGCATTGTATAATTTATCAGAGCCAAAAACTGTAAAAACAGAACGGATCATCAGATTTTCAACTTTCAGAAGGTTTTTGAACTACTCAGGGTTCAGGAAGTAGAAGTGGCATACTTCTGGATGTCCTCCACAGTCAGCTGGTCATCTCTCTGCTCTCCTGTTACCATAGCCAGCTCTTCCTTCAGTGACACGATCTCCCTCTTCAAACGTGCAATCAGCTGAAATAAACAGATATAAACCAGTCAGAAGTCTACTATCTGTTCCCATGCACACAATGTAAAAAAAATACCCATAGATACAGCAATAAACTAAGACAGGCACACATAAGCACCAGCAGATAGAGGATCTTCTGCTGCTGTCAACTGATGAGACAATCCTGCTGAAAATGATCTGGAGGCTTATCTTGTTCGTGCTTTTTCAGGACACACTTAAATGATTCCAGACAACTGGATAGTCAAGAAAATGCAGGAAGCAAAACCTAAAATAGCAGTGAACAGTTACAGTGGCAAAAAAAGAACACATAAAACCTTCTGCTGCTGTCTGTGCACGCGTGTTTGGTGGAGGCCTTGCACAATGAGCCAACAGGCTGGTTGCTGTTAGTAACCGCTGTCCGGTTCTGGTGACTCTATATATAAAACTCTCTATGTATAAAAAAGCAAACTATCTCACCAAGTCGTAATAAACATTCTACACAAGTCACACCATGAAACAACATACGAAACCAACTACAAAGGCAAGTGGCAAGTGTTTTTTTTTAAATCACATGACCGATCTCTCTTTTAGTATAAATCCTTCTCTAATATCTTACACAGCATTTAGCACATAGATTAAAAAAAAAATTTAAAAAAAGCTAACTGAAAGAGTGAAGCTGTCTTTGCAGCAAAGAGTAAATACAACAGAAAATAGCAACTATGTGCAGGAGTCACACGGTAACACTCCTGACACTAGGTTGCTAGGGAGCTAGAGGTCAGTGAAAACTAAATCAAGGTCAAAGGTCAGACTAAGTGATCTAATCCTAGCAACGTACTGCCATTTCTAGCAGACACATCTGCTAACTGGAAAGCCAGTCATGCAGTCAGACGCTGTTAACTCAAGATGCTTCTGAAAAGAAACAGACCTGTTGTGCGGTTTTGGGAAGGTGCCACTTAGCTAAACTGAAATTTCGTCCCTAATCCACCCCATATCATGTGTTCTAACATGGAATATCATCGCTGACCGTTCCTCTCCAGAGCCGCTCCCTGTATCTCTTTTTTGGAAACCTGATGTAATTCTCCCAGCTGCATCCTCAAAAGCTGACCACCAGTTGTTGGTCAGCGGAATCGTGCAGTCTATTTCAGAGCGCCAAGCCCACACTGGCACCACAGTACCACGGCAGGCTTCCATACACTCTGAATAAAAACTAACTCAGACCATGTGACTGATTATGTCAGCAAATCCTATGGAAACCCATAACATGGGTTATGGGTTGCAATATATTATGATAATGGTAGAAGAAACATTTCATATGTAAACTCTGGGATGTCTATTTGCCCTCTTTCCCTCTACATGTATGTCTGTCGCTGCGTGCTGTCAACATGTTACACAATTAACTGTAAAACATTTAACTGACTTGTACAAACAATCCTAACTTTAAATTATACCTCCTCTTCTCCTGTGTAGAAAACCACCCACAGTAAACTGTAAGCACTGCAGTATAACCACAGATTACACTTTAAATGCATATGTACAGTATTATGCAGCATGCCACTCACAAACATGCTGCTATTATAGGGGCCACTTTTTATGAAGGAAGAGTAGGCAGAGTTTCCCATTATACCTTAAAGTGGGCTAGGTTTTTATCCCCCCCCCAACAAAATGATAACACATGGGGCTGTAGCATTATTTAGCTAATGCAGATTAAGGCCAGAAACACTTTCCTGCACTGCCCCAAGACACTTAAAATCTGATTTCTGTCCTTACAAACATTTGTCCCTTTGACGAGACCCAGGGAGAGCAAACACCTGCGAGAATTTTCCCACCCGCTTCCCAAGCATGTCTCTCTGGTTGGTGATAAACAAGCTTGTTTGATTCACAGGTATGCGCTAATAAGATCTGTCTCTTCAAGCGAGATGTTGTTTGTATCTTGTGAAGAGACACTTTACATTTAGGAGGGTCAGCCAGTTATGCATGCAGTTAATCTCCACCTACCTGCAAAACCCTAAGATAAACTTTTTGACCCTTTAGGAATTACAGAAAGAAGTTTTATGACAATTAAACTCATTTCACGGTAAGCACTGCTGCAAACAATGCTCACGTTTCACTTAAGAACACAAAACAAATGCAGCAGTGAGATATGGAAGCATCTTGAAGGATCCAATAACAGTCGACAATCTCTGATGATTAATCCAGACCAGGATCAGTCTGGTCTAAATGAAGGATTAAGACTGACCTTAGTGCTCTTAGCAGAACTAACAGAGGCAACCTTATATGGTGCGGTCACTGTGGCTGACTTCATTGTGATCACAGGTCACTTTCAACACCTCGTTTTTCCCTGTCTATGGGAGATTTGTTCAATGTTTTGTCTGGTCTGGCCAGTTTCCTGCTGTTTAGGCTTTAGAAGTGCTTTTATTAGCCTGTAGGCTACAGTATAGGACCACTGAGACACTGTTTGCTTCGACCAACCACAATTGTGAAAAGTAAACTCCAGGTTTCAAATCAATTACCACAACCAGCAAGTCCAATAGACAGTTTGCCTTTAGATGGGGCAGGCCAAAAATGGTAGTCAGAATGTCACCCCAAACCACAATATATGACATCATTCTAATCTGCAAACTGCACTGCTGGCTTTGCTTTTTTTTTTCTCAGTAAACCAGGCTGGGAGATAGAGGGAGAGACACAGAGACAGGAGCAATGAACAAAATGAGAAATACACTAAAAATCCATAAACAGAGACAAGAAGCTTGCCCACTGAGCTTGGGTTTGCCTGGAGCCGTAACTGTGCCGGATCCAGTTGGGAGCAGCCAGACACTGTCACAATTACTGGGCCGGCCGCAGACTCTCTTAAAAATACCTCTGTAGGGTTTGCAAGTGGCCAGCCAAGTCTCGGTAGCAGTAATACAGTAGCAGTTGATTCTGAGGCAAATCTGGGTGGGAGCAAAGGAAGTGGATATAGCCGTGATAACTTACATCCCTCGAGGGCCTTTTTAACAACTACCACGTCTGTTTCCTGGAACACTACAATAGGAAAGGTGTGACAAATGTTGAGAGTGAAGGAGGGAAGTCATTGTCAAGAGTTTACCCTGCTGAACTGCTCCAGCAATCTCTGATGTGACTTCTTATTACTCATGTATAACAATGAGTTATAAAAGGCAGATATGGAAGTATGTGTATGATCTGTATGTAGAAAACTGCTGAGTGGCTTCAGTAACCACATATGTTATGAAAGGATTCATTCTTGCCATCTCCTACTCTGGCCTCTCACTCGTTAAAATAAAAATGTAACTATAGTATATAGATACCAAAAAACATTACCTAAAAAATAAACAGACTGCCCACTCTATTTTTAAAATGCTACCCTGTGTCCTCAGATTTACATTTGGCCAGGAAATGCTGTACGTGGTCACATGTGTGCAATTTGTACTTACTTGCATGAATGTGTGTAAAGACATATATACACACCAACTTCCAGCTGGATGCTTTCTCAAGAGGCTGTGAAGTATTGGGATACTTTATGCCATAACAGAATTGGAGGCATGTAAACAAGACAGTGAGAGAATGCAAACAGAACCTGTAAGCAGTCTAAATATCACAAGACGGACAGGCATCCATGTGTTGAAGGTGGAAACTTCTTTCAGAATGACTGTGTCACACTGGAAAAACTCATTTGGTATTGGAAACCTAAAGAGGACACTTAAGCACATGGTGGGTTACACTTAGTTGCACTGAGAAGCTGGATTCTCCCTGCAGTTCATTTACTGATCAATTTAAGGTCTGGAAGCTATGAGGAGGGTCTGGCCATGATAAAACAGCACATTAAGTCATGTGTCTGTGGTGCGATTGTGCGGCTAAGCTACGGTATTTGTAGTGACTGGTGAAGTGCAGTGAGTGTCTGGCTGTCTCACCAGGGCAGGATCCAGTTCTTCATTCAATATCGCCTCATTCTTGATGAGAGCCACACGCTGAGCAAAGCGGCACGTCGAAATGGATTCCTGAAGAACAGTTTTAAAAATCTGTCAGTGTTTCTCTGCAGGAGGGAGAGAAAACTATAACTCCCAATTAGTCCAGAAGTTAGTAATCACTTGGAACATTTGGTCAAATGAATACATGCAAGACTTAAAGTTAAGAAAATGTTAATAATCTATTGTTTCTTTACAAATCCAACATTTTCATTACTCTTTTTTTTAAAGCAGAATATACCATATAATTAAGTATCTTGTGTCGGTGAATGCATGCAGCATTCCAGAAGAGTTTTCAGGTGAGAATTTGACAGAGCAAGCTAGAGTTGAACCTTGTTTGTCTTTCATTTTTGAAATCTAAACAGAATATTGAGTCTGCCCAGGGCCTTAGGGTGCCCATCCTTACATCAATGTTTCTTCTGTCAACTGCCATAGTGGCAATCATAGTGGTCATGCAGTTGCCCCCAAGACTGTCCCTCAGCACAGACGTTAACATGGAGTTTCTGTAGGGAATATGGGAGCGATTCTTCTCCGACAATGCTATGATCACCTGAGGAAGAGAGCAATGAAAAGACAAACAGTACCCATCAAGCATTTGGACACTCTTTGGCATTCCAAGGTTTTTCATTGTAGAACAATTATAGAGACATCAAATATATCAAACAACACATTTGGATTTATCTAAGCAAAACTGTCTAAACAGAGCAAAATATGTAGCCAACTGATTCTTTAATACCAGCTTTGTACACCCTTCGGTCTCTTAACCAGCTTCATAAGGTCATCACCTGCCTTGAAGGAGTTCCCACATACAATATGCTACACACTTGTTAACTGATTTTCCATCATTCTGAGGTCCAACTTATCGCAACCCACGTCTGCTGGGTTTAGGCTGGGGATTGTGGAGGACAGGCCATCAGATGCAGCACTCTATCACTCTGCTTTTTGGTGTAACAGCCCTTACAGAGAAGACGAGGTGTGTTTTTAGCTCATCATATAAAAAAATAAATGATGGTCCCACTGGGTTCAAACCAGATGGGATGGTGTGTCACTGCAGGATGTTGTGGGAACCATGCTGCTTAAGTGTCACTTTGAATTTTGCATAAATTTCCAACAGTGATGTCATTGAAGCCCCCTCAGAATGTAATAGCTCCCCCTCCATGCTTCACAGTGGGAACCACACACGCAGATACCATCCATTCAGTCTGCCTCCATCTCTCAAAAAACACAACAGCTGGAACCGAAAATCTCAAACCAGCAACCTTCTTGCTGTGAGGCAACGATGTTAACCACCGCGCCACCTTGCAGCCCTGTGACAAACTATGAAGCTGGTTAAAATATTACTAGCAGTATGCAAAGCTGTAATCAAGGCAAACAGTGGTTACTTAGAGGTATCGGAAATATGATACATATAGTTTTATTATCTTCAGTTTGTTCCACAGTACAGCAAACAGTACAACAAATAGGCAGATGTGTCTGAACATTTGACCGATGCTATAGATAGAGATTGTGTGTGAAGTGCCTAAATGCAACATAATGTCTGAAGAAAAAGCAGTAACGCCCTCTAAAAGAATACAGGATAATCAATATCCACACAGTAATGATCACTACGACAATGAGCATTAATCAAAGGGAAAAGTGACATGAAATTAATTAACTTGGTAAGTAAAACAAATGAGGAACAGTCTGTTTTCCTGGTGGAGAGCTTTAAAATGCTGTCAAATTATTCAGTCATTATTAAGATGTATTTTAATGCTTATATCAAATATTACAATAGTTATGCAGTGTATTTTATATAAATAATAAAGAAAGTTTTTAGGAGTGGCTACCTGCTCTAAGTAGTGAAGGGAGAGGTTGATATACTTGGCCTCCGTAAGCAGTTGCCCGTTCAGGCCAGTCTTGCTAACTCTGTCCGATCCAGCCAGGTCCACTAGGTGGAGCTTGGATCGCCGCACTGTGGCTGAGCCGGGCTCACGCCTGCATAGGTGCACAGTGAAAATACAGTGCGAGCGAGTGGACGCCTGGTTCATAGGAGTCTGAGGATGATACAAAAAAAAAAGAGTGATGTCAGAAAATTCTGCAAATACTGCAATATTGTTTTGTTGTTTTGTTGTGTTTTAATGAGGTTTGTGTGAGAATGTTCTGACAACTGAAACATTGGTACAGATGGTGGAAACAAAACTTAAAGGCATTTTTATTCTCCATCTGTGCTTTTTTTCATACTCAAACAACAAAAAAACATGTTTCCTTTGATTCTTATTTTTTCTTGCTCCCACTGGTTAAGATCAAAGAGACACCATGTGCAACTGATGAGCAGTAAACACATGGTGGCTTTACAAAAGCTGAGGTTGATTTTCAGATGGTCACTGCAACAGCAGAAGTCAGGTTGAGACCAGGAGGAGACAGAAATAGAGTATGAGTCACTGTGCACAAACAAGCTTTATTAACTCAAGGAGGATAGGTTACTCATGGGGTCCTCACTGTGAGAGTAAACAGAGGAAATGGACATTCACTGACAAAGTGCTGATCATGGACTTTTCTTTTTTTTTTTTTTGCCACAGGCAGCTTGAACAGATAATAGTTGTGAATAGCAGCTTTTCAACATAACGGATGGGCTGATATACACATGATATATAGCTACATCTTGTCGAGGATTAGATACTGATCCTCTTTTCCTTTCGTGGAATTGCCATTCATTAAAGATATGGCCATGACTCACTTCTTCTGTCCGCCCGAAAACATCATCATAGACATTCCAGGTCATTCATTTAAAAAAAAAAAAAAAAAAGTGCTCTGACCCTGATTTGTTGTTGGCGTAAATGTGCCAACACCTGCTTGTTAGGGTCATGACAGCTCATGACGGATCTTTCACGATCTTAACCCACTGCTGTCATCTCTTTCCTCAGTCCAAATTCTCTTCGCTCTGCACACGTCCATGTTGCTGAATAGGTTATCCCTTCAAGTAACATGAGACAGCTCAAAGATGTAGGCAAAGGATCACGTATTGGACCCAACAGGTATGTATAAAGGTTCAAGGGTAGGGATAAAGTATCCAGACTACAGTATAGAATTTGTTTTAGTCTGATCTTATCAACAGTCAGCAGGCAGATTTGGACTCTTCAATAAGCTGTTGATTTTGGACAGTTCTCAGTATGTGTATAGCAATTCCATCTTGCAGTATTAAAGGTAACTCAGATGGCAGGCAGTGTAAATAAAGATTAAATGTTGATGGATGTAATTACGTTGATTTTTCAACAAAACACATTCCAAAGTAAACTATACTTTATATAGAAAAACACAGGTTTTCTACTGAAATAAATAAAAATAAAAAACAATCAGGATGTTACTTTAGAAAGGATGAACTCACACTTCTAAATGGCAGCAATAAAATATTTGGACAAGTGGTGACTGGTAAACTTAGTGGGACAAAATCTTTGGTGATGTGATAAATGATACCTGCAGCTACTCTGCTAAAGGCTTGACCTGCTACTGCAAAAATAGCAAAGACAAGTGAAGAGCTCAGGGAAAAGGCCAAGCATGCTTGTTGGCACAAAAAAAGCCACTCAGCTTAACAAATCAGCAAAAAGAACTCAATTATCCATCTTCCACATTAAAGCGTCCTCAAAGGGTTAAAAAAAAAAAAGGGAGATTACATAACAGAAGCATCACAGGCCAACACAACAGCAAGGATCAATTCAGAGATCAACCAGAAATACCAGATAGAACTTAGTTCAAAGAACACTGGAAATATCAATCAATGAGATTACCATGCACAGAAACAGAGCAGCTTTTGGAGACTGTGCTCCAAATTCAACTTACATGGATCTTAAATTTGTGTGAAGAAAGCCAGGGGAAGATCGCTACACTACAGGTACAGTAAAGCATGAAGGACCAAGACCCCAACAGTCACCATCATACCAGCTCTCCACCAGTCAGGCCTCTATGGTAGAGTGGCCTGCAAGAAGTCACTCTTGAGTAAAAACACTCCTGAGCAAAACAAGGTTGTCAGCCTTCTTCGAGTTGCCAGATGGCATTTAAAGAACTCTGAGGACATGAGGGAAAAACAATCTGCTCTGAAGAGACAAAATTTTAACTCTTCAAGGTAAAACATCAAGAAATATGACTGGCAAACACAAAACACTGCTCATAATGTATTAAATACATCCCTACAGTGAAGCATGGTGGCAGCAGCATCATGCTATTGGGATCAGAACTGTGAATGAATGCAACTAAACAGAAAGGTCCTTGAAGAAAATATGCTCCAGAGTGCAGGTACATAGACTGGGACAACAGATCACCTTTCAGCACAACACTGATCCAGGGCATACAGCCAAGACAAAGCTAGAGGACAAGTCTTTGGCTGTCCTTGAGTGGCCCAGACTTAAATTCCGTAGAAAATCCTTGGAAAAATGGCAATCTGACAGAAATTGGGAGGATCTGCCAGACAGAATAGGATAAACTGTCCAAATTAGCAAAGCTTTGAAGATTTACCCAAGGAAATTACTGCAATTAAGCTGTAATTGCTACTAAACCAGTTTCTACAAAGTACAAAATAAAGGGTCTGAATACGTCGGCAAAGAGGAGATTTCAGTTTCTGATTTAATTTTTTTTTCCTGAAATTTCTAAAAACATGTTTTCTCTTTGATATTGGGGGTTTTTTTTGGCATTGATTGATGAGGAAAATGCCAATTACAGTCATTCAAAATTAAATTTACAACAGAATAAAGTGTGCCAAAACTAGGGTTCTTAAAAGAATAATTTCTAAAGTGACAGTATGTACACATGGAGACATATATCTATAGACCGGTAAATAAAAACAGTGGCACTCCAGTGGGAGAAGCAAGTAAGAGTCATTCATCTTCAAGACAGATCTGTCTAATATTATCCATAAAGGAAACTCAATCTATTTTAATATATGCACCAACTAAATAAAGTGACATGTAAGTGACTCTTAATGAAACTACTACAGTGTAAATCTATACCAGCACTCATAGATGACAGTTAAAGTCTGCAAACACGCTGGCAACTGCCCATAGATAAGAAGTGACTGTTGTCTCTTATCTCCAACTGCTATGGTTTCTGTTTTACCAAGACATCTATCAAGACTAAGCCCTACTAGAGTTTGAGATGTGCCTTTAATGTTCACAAGCAAATCCTGATTTTAACATAGCCCGTGATGATATCATGTTTTTTTCTGAGTACTAGAATAACTCATTGCATTGAACCATACAGACAAGAAGCACATCAGTTACAGTATATCTAAATGGTCATGAACTGTGTGCGTGTCCACAGAGGAAATAGTCCACACAGGAGATTCAGCTGCGAAAAAACATCTGGACAATGCAACCTCATTGCCGTCACTTCCTTTACTCTCATGTGCTCTAAATTGACCACATGTTGATCTTACAAGCACTACATACTGACCACACACAGCGATGTAATGGATCAGCAGAAGGTGACAATGTGGCCCTACAAAGCACAAAACATTCAGAGATTGCTCATTCAAAACATTAAAAGTGAAATTTAAATGTTGACAACGTGCTATGCACCCTATTTACCCCATGAGTTCAGGTAGCAATGAGAATGTAGAACAAGGGGGAGGCCCGGGCCCAGCATCCATATGAAGAGAAGTAAACAGAGAGGCAGAGAAAAGACCAGATGAGAGGAAATGTTTTCTGATGAAGTTGAAAGAAGGGTGAGGAGTTGAGAAGGTGTATTTTATTTCCTGTCCAATAAAACTGTGGAGGGGATTGCCAAGTCTCAAAGCGAGTGAACTCGTGGTCTGCTGAGTGTGGCGTGAATGGATGTGTCATATTTTCTCCACATGGCTGAGAGCAAGAGAAGAAAGAAAGCATTGCTGTTAACTTTATTGGAAGTCTATGTGGAGCAAAGACTGCTGGGATGATTCTGGCAGTGATGAATTATTATGTTGACAGTTCTTTGTTTGCTTCAGGCTCAAAAGAAACTTTCTTGGGAAGTCCCAGAGAGGACGAGTCAACAAAAGTCTCTGTGTGGGTGGACCATGCTGGGGCCTCCCTGTTGCACTGTGCAACTCCTTGAATGCTTGATAATGTCACATGTGTTTCCACTGACGTATACCCCCAGGTCTTACAGCCGTAGACAGTAGACACTAGGAGTGTGTCCTCCAGGTACATGCAAAACAAATGTAATATTGTTGTGGTTATGGGCTAGGTTCAGTGGAAAATTGAGTATTACTTGGAATACACAGCTCCTCACACATTACAATAGTTATGTGAAAAGTAGCAACTAAACCCATTTCAGAGTCCAAAGAATTTCCATCTTGGATCCCACAACTACCATATTTTTTCGCATTGGTTTTGTTTCATGGAAGAATCCCAGCCACATCAAAAACTGACTTGAACGTACTCATCAAAAATGAAGCAAGTCTCTGATTGAACCCTGATTATCCGGGTCACTTTTACTGTCTGTTATTTACTTACAAACTAGCAACAAGAGTAAACAAGGTGAGATCAGCCCTATGCTCCAAACCTCAGGTTGCAAAGCAATAGCTGACCCACCACATGTCTCATCAGCGTGGGGAGTCTGGGCGTCTAAGTGTAGAAAAAACACACCACAACATAAACATAAATTACAGAGAGAATGCTTGGTTTTACAGGGAAAAAAACATGGTAAAAAGGACCACAGGGGACCAAAATAATATTTTAGAAGGGTCTTAAGGTAGCTTTTAGAATGCATAATGCATTTGTGGACAAAAAAATACCCTTTATGCCACTTACCCTGGGAGTGGTCAGCGGTATTTTTGCATTCTGTGTGCAGTCTTCACTAAGAACTCTGCATGCATGGTGTATGACAAAGCGGAAGTAATGTCATGTATTTCTGTTATGAAGAATCTCTTTGGAAGCGTGTGTGTCCCGTTTTTCTTACTTCTGCAATCATGCGATTGGTGTCCCCCAGAAAGAGTAGGTTCAAAGCCTCTTCCTCATTAGCTGACTGCTGCAGAGACAGGTTCCTGAGATGGATGTTATGGTCTGGATCCTCCATGATCAATACTTTTCTGAAATAAAAAAAAACTTAAAGTAAATATTTGAATAACAATTCTACTTCAATAAACTTGAAATTATACATAAAAAGTGAAAAAGTGGGAAAAATACAGTCAAAACCTAAGCAATCCAAACACAAAAGCAATTATAAGTAACAAATTATGTCAGTTATGTCATTTATTTCCCTCCTATTGCCTTGGCGTCACTCTGCTCTAAATCCAGACAAACCACATTTGCAGGTTTGTGTGGGCCGCAACACAGTTTGACACATGTTCTTTATCTATCTGGGGGTTCATACCTTGATAACAGACAGTACTCTATTTTAAAAACAAACAGGTGATTGGTTCTTGGCCACATCAATCACATTGTTAAACACAGTGTGCTTTAACAGATGGGGTTGAAATGACTTCTGTGATCTTACCACATAATTTCTAACCAGTCACCAGGGTTGTGACAGTATGGCTACTGGATTGACATGTCAAAGAGGAAGACTAGAGGACACATGTAGATAATTATGTTAACATGTGTAGGTCATTGAGGTTAGTTTGATAAAACAGCATTAATCTTGTTGTGATTAAAAGAGGTGTCCTGGCAGGGTTATTTTCCTAAACAGCCCCACTAATCAAATATATAATTTAATTACAGCATTTAAAAAAAAAAAAAAAGAAAGAAATTCTATAGACATGGAATGAATTAGTGTAATTTACAGACTTTCAGGCATTTACAGGGAGAAAAAACAAAGGCATGACTGAAATCATGCACAGATGGAGAGAAGAAAAAATAAACTAGATAAAATAGTGCAAGAATGTCAGAAAAAGAGAAGGGGTAATGTCGGCAGTGAAAGAGAAAAGCAGACCAGCAGTCAAAGAGAGAAATTTGTCAGTGCCACAGCTTCTCCTTGAATCAGCAAGTGTGGCCACAGCATGGTTAACGATGGGCACTGCCTATTTCCAGAAGACTGTGATTTGTGGGTATCTAAACTTTAAGCTGGATCCTTTGCAAAAGGCTCGAAGGAACCTAAATGGAACTGGTACAAGAAAATACATGACAAACATCAAAATGATGTACCAAGATGAAGTTGCACCTGGAAGTCCTGCCTTAAGATAAATGCGTATTGACTGTGACAAAAACAGGCAAATAAAAAAAAAAAAATAAGAGCATCATCTCATAATCTCTGCACAGACAGAATGTGTAGCTACAAAAAAGAGGAAAGAAACCAAGAAAAAAATGAAGCTAAATGAAAAAGGATCAACAGTGAGAACTGCAGGCAACTGGAAAGAAGAGCAAGGCACAGAAGGAAGAAACAGAAGACACAAAGAACCAGTAAGAACAAGAGACCACAGGACATAGAAAAGAATTTCCCTCTGACCAACAGCAGCGACCAATTATGAAAAACTATTTCTTCACATGACCCTGTTACTCTCCACTCTAGTGGTGGAGTCTGCCACCAGGTTGACCACATCCATTGCTGTCCCATAGTCTCATTATGTCAGCTGGCACTTCATAGTGGGTTGGTAAATACTGTAGTCTCCATATTTCACCACACAGTAACTCTGAGCCAAGCTGAGAAAGGGCTGCTTAGGACTAAGGCTTGGCTTAAACCACAAGAGCTTTAACAAAAATAATGAACCCAGTGGTTATTGGTTTTAACAACTTTAAAAAATAAGTGTCTTTATCAACCATGACTGCATGTTGTCAAGGTGAAATATACACTGTATGACCCTAGCTGTTGACATATTTTAAAAGCATTAAAGTGTATCAAAAATATAGCAAATGCGAAGAAAAAAGAACACTGACGGTAGGTCCTCCAGTCGAGATGCTTTATTTCTGGAATCCAGAAGGTCATATCCCATCTCATTGTAGATCTCCAGGTAGGAGATGTGTGCGGTATAAATCATGTTGCTATCCTGCGGAGCAAAAATATATTATCAAAAGATGGACTGGATGCCAAACATGGAAATATCAGTATTTCTGATATTTGGCAGAAACAAGTAGGAGAACAAGATAAATAAAGGTAAAGACGGCTGAAAGGATTCTAATTCATGTTTTTCTTTAATGTATTAAAGTGTGTTGTCTGTATGTATCAATAAATGATTAACTAAAAACAGGTCACTGTGCTGACCTGGCTGAAGCATTCGTACAAGTAGGACAGGGTGCGAGGAACAATTCCACGATCACTGTAACGCTCAGCACCTCCTGTGATGGTAAAGGTCTTCCCACTGCCCGTCTGGCCGTATGCAAATACGGTGCCATTATAGCCAGCCAGTACACTGTAGAGATATACACACACAAGACAGACACTATGAAAGTTCCTGATACTTGATCCTTGATGATTTGTTTCTCTAACTATATGCGGACACGAACATTTTGACACTCTGTAGAAATGGAGCATGGGAAAAGGATTAAACCATTACATTTTGGTGTGGATTTGGATCAGTTTCTTTAAAATTCCTGGATAGGAAATTGGCCTTAGTGGTTGACTGTGCTCTTCAAGTGTACAACAGTAATGAAGGTCTATATTGATTAGAGCCCTTCCAATACCTGATTTTTTGGGCTGATGCAAACAGTGGTATTAAAGGTTATCTTAGATTAGGTCCATGAAATAATAAAAAAAAATGGAAGCAAACACAAAATGTATGTTCACCACTGTGCTCTTTTTGAAAGAAGTCCTAAAAATAGGCATCAAAACAAATAATTGGACCCAAAGAGAATTGATTGTTGACAGTTATTTTTCTTTTGGAATATAGTCTCAATGTTGTTCATTTGAATCATGTGCGTGCTATGACGTCACCATCTTAAATAGCAAAACTGCAAGACAGTGTCAAGTATATTCCGAGGCAGACACCAAGAGTCTCAGTGAATTGAACCTGACACTTTAAATCCACAGGAAAGCATGGCAGTGAGTAGAGAACTGCTATGGCGACAGACATCTGCTGGTGAGCAAGAAATGTCTTGAAGTGCAAGTGACAGAAAAGGCCCAAACCCATTTAACAAGGCAGGGTCCGGTAAATTTTGGTCTGGCACAGAACTGTCCCTCTGCACGTGCACACGGCCATGGAAACCAACAGTATCTTGTTCTGTTTGAATGAAATAAACCTCCAAAATGACAGAACTCATAGGAGATACAATATATAGGCATAAAAAAAACACTTCTGTTTTGCAGACTTGGAAATAAACCAGCTAAAAAATAGCAAAATGACAGAGGGGCCTCTGACACATGAGCTTAGATCAAAGATGTGGATAAACTCTGTGCTCTCTGACTTGCCAATTGCGAGGAAGAGGATATCTTTACACTGTATTTTTCAAGATGAATTATAAACGAACTTAAGCCTCTCACTTATTCTAATGGAATTGCCAACCCAGTATTTGAGCAGTGTGTGGGTTTCCTTTCCTGCGTGCTGTACAATTCCACACCCTGCACGAGAAGGGTATGGGAAAAACTGCATGTCGGTTTATATAAAACACTACGGCCACTCATGAGAATGGTGGTTGGTTAGTCTGGCCATTGGGCGTCCATTTATTCTAGCCTGAGTCATGGAAGTGATTGGCAGCAGTGAGAGAAGACACAGGCTCAGTGTTTAGCTTAATGTCAGTACTAATGATGCGGCCAGGGCCTTGCCACTGAGGCTTGGGCGTTTCCCAATGCTTGTTCCTGTTTACACCTCAGCTTTCCTGGAGATTGGCAACTCATCATGCATCATTCTTCCTGTTGTTTTTTTGAGAAGCTCTACGTTACATCTTTTCAGGTATTACAGTTAGGGATACAGATGAGCAGCCCACACTGCTTCTTTGAACTTCGGTGGCAGGTTTCGCAGCCCTCTGAAATGGGATTACAATGCAGATAGAGGGTTTGCCTTGCCAGCCCAACATCATTACACTGGCTCTTCCTCTCCTGGAGCTATTAATGCTGGTTTGTTTTTAAACTACTGTGTTGGAGTTCAAATGACTGGTTTCGGTTACACCACAGCAGAGACAGAGACTTGTGTGCAAGTAAACGAGTTAGAGCTTTTGGCTAAACTTGAAGTGAGCCAAGTATGACAGAGTACCAACCAAAACAGCAACCTGACAGTTATTGCTAGTTGAGAGGATAGGCATTTGTGTGCGTCAGTTTTAGTGCGGTGACAGCAAAACTGCTGCAAAGCAAAGTGACTCCTGACTAAACCTGAATAAATATTTCCTAACTATTGAGGCTTTAGGAAAATAAGGGGTCAGGCCAAAATTTGATTCTGCTTGTGATTAGTGTGACCAGTTGTGTTTCTGTAACTGCAATTTATGTCCTTGTCAACATATGCTACATAGTTATCACCAAAAGGTTGTCACGCGGCACAGTCTATATGAGTCCAAGCTGAAGTGTCTTTCATCATCTCTGTCAGTACACTTTGTAGGAAGCTGGTGAGGCTTAAATGTCTGTCTTTGAAAACAACATATTCAAACTAGAAATGGGGTTGAACATTCATATTATTTACTCCATTCACTCCTGTGTTTCTGCCACAAGAGTGAGACATAATTAAAAAGGTTTTTACTTGTTGGAACTCTGAACATTCTGTGTGCAAATGGGCATCCTGCAGAGGGGGGAAGGAACTGACAGTGGACTAAGAAATGCCTGATTGGCGAGACGAGTTGGTCATGGCTAGACAGGATGACTCGTGTCCTCTAGACTGCAGGCATCATACTCATATCAAAGACTAAAAGACGCCAAGCTCAAATCAATACACAGCCTAGTTGTGACTGCAACTTTTTAACCTGATGTTGACCATCTGCCACAACAAAGGGGGAGCTGTTAAGACGTTCGCTGGAGAGGGCAACCTAATACCCAAGTCAGTGAACCCGTGTGAGTCAGGTCAAATATATCCAAGTCTTCAGTCAACCAATCCAGACATCCCACTGTGTTGTTTATATGTCTCCTAATAGCAAAGATAATGCAAAGCGTTTGTGGGATTCCACAAATAGCCTCTATTGTGACTAAGAAGACAGGGTGGAATGTTGAGGAGATGTGAGGGCTAAACTGAGCCAGGAGGGACAAATTTTGGCAAGAAGAAGGAGAGGAAAAACCTTGTTCACATAACAACAACACAACCAACATTTGATCACAGGAAATTCCAAGTAAATTCCCTCTCTGGCTGGATATTTTCTCTTTTGGAAGTCAGTTTGGGCAGGGGGTAAAGCTCTGTCACATATAGTAAGAGCCTTCCTTTGTTAAAATGAAGTGAAAATTGTGTTGAGAGGCTTCTTAGCAGAGCAAGGAACTGAGTTTCATCCCAGAGGTAAAATTCTGGGAAATGAAAAGGTGAAATATGAATTCAACAAATGGTTGATGTGCTGATGTGCTTTTACTATGTGCTTGTTTCCATTTACTTACTTTATTTACCTACTTTTCTTCTTTCCTTCCACCTCCTAGTTTCCTTGGCCTTCATTCATAAATTTACTTACTGATATTCTTGTTTTTCAAATTGTTTCTAGTCACCAGGATGTATGTACATGAAAAGAGGGGTAAACAGTTCAAATGCACATATTGAGAGATGTGACCGTAAGTACACATGCACTTAAACTGTACATGTGCACTTAAAGTGCATGAACCTCTGAGTTATTTTTCCATCCTCATAGTTTTTAATTAAAAAAACAACAACAACGACACAGGGACATGAAGTAAAACAGGCTACACTGTATAACATACTGTATAACATGTGCAAACCTTGTTTCATAAAAACTGCCAAATAAAAAGAGCCTGATAAGATTCATATAAGATCTATACAGAACTGGCAGGGGTGCGTGACATTTAAATTTCTGCTGACAACTAATTGCAAAGCTGCCAATTGTTTACTCAATATTCTCTCAGAGAAGCTGTGTGTCATAGCAACATCTAGTTAACCATCTTAGTTCTTGCACTTTTCTAAGGCAGGTGGATTCCTAAAAACTTTAATTAAAAAAAAAAAAAAAAACATCTAATGGTCACACTGTTGCCAAAAAAGATCCTTCTTCCATCTTTATACAGTACATCAACCATCAGTTGTTGACTTTGTAAAATAAAAGAGACTTTGATCTATTATATCGATAATAAATAACACATGCTCTTGTACTTAAATCGAAGCGGTCTAATGGGCATATCAATATGTAAAATATACAAGTGTTACATTTAAAAGTGAACTGAAGTGGACTAAAATGAACAGTTCTGATGTTTACTTGCCTTATCGATCTTGAGGACGACATATGTCAGCAGGGTAATCTGACGAATATCGTCCTAATACATTACAAATTACACAACAGTTCAAAATGAATGAGCAGCTACTGTATATAGTAAACTCATAGCTCTGTGTTGTGGCTAGAAAATGTTCTCACACTCACGATGGCACAGTGTGCCATCTTGCCTGCCAGCTCTGTCCACTTAGTGGTTTAAGTATGTAAAACATGCCAAAAATCACAGACACCCTCCATTTCCATCTTAAAGAAAGCTGAGCTTTACTGACTTCCTGTCAACAAGCCTGGCTAAAGCCTGTGTGGCCCTCAATGAGGAGAGATGAACACTTTTCAGAAAATACGTTGAAAAGATTTTACCTGTCTGCAACTGGTTTGGCAATGTGTTCAAATATCTCCTCTTGATTGGTTGTTTGATCAAACACCTTTTGGAACCTGGACATAAGTGAAAATAGTACATTTAGCAAAACAGACCAAGGCAGACCATCAATCTATTATTCAATTCACTATCATAACAAAGTATAAAAAATATATGTTGCTGGTTCAGCTCAATCATCCAAGGCTCAGCACTGTTGCCCACAGCAGAACCAAATAAGCACATAAAGCAGTAAGTTTAGTCATTCTGTTTTGTAAAGCAGTCTCAACCCATCATGTTTTAGCCCACAGAAAGATGAGAAAGATGTGAGAGGAATCCGCCCAGGAAGATTGTTAAATGTGGAAATTTTATTTCTATAAGGGCACAAGGGAACCTCCACAGGCTATTATAAGACTGTGTGGTTTTCCAAGGCTCTCAATGTCCACTGCTGTCTGACTCCCTAACTGTGAATTTAGGGCTTGGAAGCATGGCATGGGCCCTACCCAGAGGGTATATAAGACTGCAGCTTTCACTACCAGCATTAAACAGATGTTCCAGCACTTCTCTGACAGAAATGCTGGATGAATTATTTATGGGAAAAGTTCTTATGCAACCTTGAGAGCTTAGACTCTGTATGTTGTCTTCATTCATTCTAGCTTGTTTCTACAGTCATACCACTCTTGCAAATTTTAGCTTAAATAAAATTCAAATCAAGAACAAAAAAAGATCATCTTCCATATTCTCATTTCTCATTTTTCTGTTCTGATTTCACATAACACTGTAGCTACTTCTTACTTGTGCGGACAAAACAGTATGCAATTACATTTTATGTAAATCTTAATTCTATTCCTTTGATCAAGTCTTTGCTATGTTTATAAAAACATAATAAAAAGAGAGAACCTGTAAAAACTTTCACTTCAGTCACTACACTACTGAATCAATAATAGAAACAAATACAGCCCTTTGTAGCTGCAATATAAAATGGAGGTAAGTACATCCCTGTGTAATTTCACTTAAATGTCAGATTATTCTAAATTCTATCACCAGACAGTAATTGCATCAGAATCAGAATCAGACTTATTGCCAGGTATAGTTCACACAGTACGAGGAATTTGTTCTGGTGGGTTGGTGCAACAAAACAACAATAAGTATAGAGTAAGCAATAAATATACATTAAAAAGTAACTAGAAATAAAAATAACTGTAATAGTGCAAAGAATCAAAGTTAAATTTAAATAAGAGGCATAGAGCATTAGTGTTATTTACAGGAAAATTGAGGGTGCTGATGTCTTGATTACTTCTAGGTTGACAGACGGACATTTGCTCTTATGTCAAACTAAAAAGTAACAGTTTAGATTTACAACAATAAAATACAGGACCAGCAGTAACTCAATGCAACACAAGTCAGTAAACCTTTCATTACTGAGATTCAAATCTTTTACTTTTTTCAATATTTCACATGTCCTCCTTTATTTTTTTTTAGGACACATTCAATCCTCCTCTGCGTGGAACAGTGTTGGACAAATTTCTGGAGAAATGTTCTGCCATTCTTCAGAGATTATTTATTCAGCTGTTCTTTGCTGGATGGATTGTGTTACTCTACTGTTCTCTTTAAAATACCCCAAAGGTGTTCTGTTGGATTCGAGTTGGGCGGCATACTTGGCTAGGTCCTATGTTTTTTACTTTTTCTTCTTTAGAAAGTCGTGATTTTGGCAGTATGCTTTGGATGGTTATCATATTGGAATATTCCTCTTCTGTCAGGCTTCTGCAAGCTGACCTAATATTTATCAGGGTTTTTTTTTAACAATATTTAGCAAAGTACAATCTTGCAGTTTTGTGCCAAAGAGCAAGCAAGTTGTTTTATTTACTTAGATGCTGTCCTTAGAAGATAATGTTATGAACTGTCTGAACTGTCACAGAAACCACTGTGCCCCAAGTCAGACACAACATACAGATCCAAAACTGAGAGCATTCTGGTGTTTACAGCTCATTTTATAATCATGTTCATGCAGCCTAATAACATGAGCATGGTTAGGTGTACTCAAGCTAGTTTCAATAATCACAGGTTATCTTAACAGTGTTTCAGTGATCACAGGTGTATTTACTTTTGTTGCACTGAATTTCTACTTTGGGACTTGTATTTTCAGCATAGTCTTTCAAGAGCATTTGTTTTTGATCTTTTCTAAGAGTACCTACTCTACTTGTCAACTTAGAAGTAATGCAATTACTGTAACATCAGTTGACATTTAAATTATATGGTACGGGGGGTTATTCACTTGTGCAGTATACAGTAGAAGCAGATTATTATGGTGAACTTTAAAAATCCCACCAATTGAATTTACTCAATACAAATTCAGTGGCTGATTTGGAAAATGAAGCAAAGATAAGTTTTAGAGATACAAACATAGCTCTAGGACACGTTACCTGAATTTGTAGCATTCCCTTTTGTTGTTAACAAAGCCATCAGCTAAGTCCCTGGGAACCACAAACTCCAGAGATGCACCTGTCTGTTCCTCATTGTCCACGGAGTACACCTGAGGGAGCCAGAGACAACAGCTGAGTCAGTCCCACAGTGACACAAAGGCTAGAGTAGGAAACTATTATCACAGGATAAGGTAGATGACTGAGAAGTATTAGTATGTAGTTAATTTACAATAAGATAAAATGTGAGGAGTATATGACAGTGGCTATACAGGCATCCATCTACTGTTTTGAAAGACTACTACCCGTTTTCAGTTTGTATTTTGTTATGGTATGTGGTGCCATACATGTACCCCAATTTAAATACAAACACAATATGTGACGTTAGGTCAAAGTATAAGTTTGGACACTTGTGGTTTGGGTATTGCAAGCCCCAAAATGAAAAGATGGAGTGTAGGGGGCACATATCCTGAAGAAAGCAATAGAACAGAACAAGCAATCATGGGTACAGTGTAGGCAACTCTACAAATTCACCTCTGCTAGCCCAAGTCAAAGCCACGCCTCAGGGGAGACAAGAAAAACTGTAGAACATTAAACCAATATAGACTGAGCTCTAGCAGTGGAGAACATTTAAAGTGAGGTTAGCTGGGTCACTCTAAACACCCCCACCCTCTGTTTCTGAGCCTCGACATATGTTCTGGCATATGTTTCCAATGGACACTGATGCAATTACAAGTCCCCAGGGTTTCAGGAATAAAAGATAAGACCTAAATGATTGGATTGTTTTTCACTGTCACTCTGCCTGCAGGGTGCCTTCTGACCACCACTGTTTTTTGTCTTCCCACGAACATGTACCAAACGTCACAAAGCCCCAAGGAGGTAGACATTTCATTTCATTTCAGTAGATGTTGTCAGCTAAAGCTAAAGTGCCACAGAAACCCTCACAATAATATGATTGTTTTCCCCAGATGCTTTGCACAGACAATTAAGTGGGCTTTATGAAGAAGAAAGTACTTTGCCAGTGGTGTTTCTGATGGGAATAGACTTTTTATTACACGTGTGTCCAATAAAAAGGGCTTTCATCTGATAGCAGGTGAACATGAGTGCACACATGTGTACTTCATTGCAAAATACCCACTAGTAAGATGGTGGATAATGTCGCATAACTGTCACTTTTTGACACAACTACTCCAAAACTTCACGTATCACTGTGAAGAGTACAATGTTTGCAGAACACATATACAGTATATTACATAGATTAGATTACATTGCTAAGACTAAGATTCTAATAGAAAGATTTTAAGTATGGTAGTAGCACCGGGAAAATGGTATTGGCACTGGCAGGTCGTAGCACCTCAGGGGCAGTTGAAAAAACTTGTTGACAGCTAAGATGGGGCCAAATTTCCTGGTTGGATTTCACAGCAGGTCAGCAGCCATAAGTCGGATTTAGGATGGATGTTGAGCAACCACCACGTTTTCTACATTTTTATTTACAGACTTGTCAGCTGACTGACAAACATAGTGTAAAACCTAAAAATATCTTCATGTTTACTCACTTATGTCAGTGTCAGAACACAAGATGCCACAGGGGTGCAGCAAATCTTTCAACTGCTGACTGAGGTGTCACTACCTGCCATTGCCGGAGGATCGTGGCCTTTCTCCCACATGGCCTGAAAACCCGCATCCACTGCAGTGTAAATACCATTACAGGGGAAACTACCTAGAACTTGTGATAGTTGTGTAGTTTGTGCACAAATTAGATAACATGCACTCAGGCACAACTGTGAGATCTAATGCAATCCAATACTACAGCTCTTCCATAAATATTACTTTTACAAAGCTATCACATTTTCAATTTTTGTGGATGTCATAAAGGTGATGATTATTATTAGAGGCAAGATGGGTGGCGATGGTGCACTGGACTGCATAGCATTTTATACTGTTCTCAATATTTTGCCCTCCTCATGCTAATGAGTTGGACAAGTGTTGAACATCAGCAACTACAGATAGACAAAACTACTACTGAAGAGAAGAATCAAACTGAACTGAACAGAATTGAAGCGATTGAAATATATTGACCTTACTGTGATTTTTTTCTTTTCTTTCTGACTTAGCAGGTCGTCTGCTGTGTGCAGTTACAACACACATCTTTTTCACAGCAAATATTTTAACAAGTCATAGCAAGAAAAGCACAGGTGTAATTGAAAAGACTAATTTGAAACGTTAACGATTGCATTCCGTTCAGGTGTGCCAGTTCCAGCACCGGTATCCTCTAATTGTGCATTCTTATTCACCTGAGTGATTTATTGGGTCACCTAATGGAAGGAAGCCATCTTTATTCATGTCGTATACCTTTGCTGCCAAAAATATATGTAAAACAAACTTGGTGAAAGACTTATAATAGGTGTTCAAAGCTCTTGTCGATCTAAACTGTGATAATTCGCGTTGCAGCAATATAAACTGACAGATTCTCAAAGGCCTCGTTAATAAGTTAAATCTAAAACTAGCTTGCTTAATATAAACACACTATCTAGCCTCAATTATAATATACACGGAGTTTGTGTAAAAGTACATGTTGAGAGTTGCCAACTTACCGCTGCGGTTTTCTTAGTGGGTTTAATGCGACCAAATATCTGTATCGTGTGTTTAACCATTTTTTTCCGCGTTAAAAGCTAATTTGGTTTGGTTTGTTTACAGGCCGTTAGCTCGCTGGCTAACGTTAGCTGGCTAACAATGCTAGCAGCAGCCCAGTGTGTTGTAGGTGGTTGCTAGGTGACGGTGCCCCCCTCTGCACTGTCGAAGATCGTCTATCGCTTAAAGATGATTCCTCTGAGTCACCTTTACATCGACTGTCTGTTCCCCACATGCCCCAGAGGCAGTACTGAGATGTTCAGGGATGCGTGTGTCTCTGTGTGTAGGAGGGGTATATGAATATATTAAATGCACTGTCAGATGTATAAATAAATCAGGAATCCAAAGCTGTTCTATTTGATCCGGATGTTTGTTTTTCTCCACAAAGAAAGTGTTTTGTATGTGCAAGAAAGTTCACCGCAGGTTCAGTGACTCATTCAGCCGTGTAAGTGTATTCAGCACTGTAGGCACTCCCAACACATTAATCTAATGGCTGTTACTCATAATGCAAATAGGTGCAACCACAACTGGCTGATTCAGCAGTTACAGGTCAATATAGGAATAAAAGGAAATGTTAGGTAGGTTAATCATGTTTGCAGAAATATCTTTAAATGTAAAGAACAAAATGACCATAAGCAGCAACAAACCATAGCGTTTAACAGACTTGATCCACCACAGACCAAACTCTGTGTTTTGCATTGCATAAGAATTAGAAATGAGTGTGTGTGTGTGTGTGTGTGTGTGTGTGTGTGTGTGCGCGTGTGTTTTGCATGTGATGTAGGGCTAAGAGGGGCACAAATATACACCCAATGTGGTGCAATACAGTTGTTTAAGGTAGTAACCAATTCAGGCACAAGCTCACACACGTGCATGAACGTATCATGTTGCACCAGTTGAAGTGCAGTTTACAGGTAAACATTTATTGTTGTGGCTGAAAATGGCTTTTCAAGTTTAATTTTTTTTCTACTTTATATTACTAGCAGTTATAAACACAGCGGCTAAATCCATCGAGGAAAAATCACAACATATTCTGCCTTATAGAAACTCATGGGGAACCCATATCATTTATCGGCTGACTTACACAGCAGCACATGTCTTGTGTTTGGGAGGGTGTGTGTGTGTGAGGTGAGGTGGTGGTGGTGGCTTTGACCCTGTCTCCAATTTCAGTCTATGCGTGTCATTCTGTTCCTGGTATTTCACCTGAACTCTGGATGTCCCCCAAATATATCCTGCTACCAGGAGGCCTGCCTCCAAGCTGAAGACCAGACAGGCCGCCTGGTCTCCTGGTGGCATCTAGCAGAATGTATCATGTTTGTTCCAGTGCATTCCTCAGTGCTTCAAAAAGAGGCTTCCTCGTGTGGTTTCTTGTAAAGAGTTGTGTGTGTTTGTGTGTATCATGCACACATGCTGTTGCGCAAAAGACCTTTAAAGGACATTTTGGCTTAAATGTGTAGACAGTCATACACCTTGTTTGCTATTAAGACTGAGTGCTGATATCCAGGAGTGTGGCTGCCACGACAACAAAACCCTGTGACTGCTGTGTGGTAGAGACACTGAGTAAGAAAAAACAACTAATGTCTTGATATTAAAATATAGGTTAAAATTAAAACTAACCAAGGAAACAATTTCACAGTATTGTGATAAAATACCTGTTTCTCAGCTTCCTATTTTTAAAAAATCCTCCTCAGAATCCTGCATTGTCTGTCAGCCTTACTGCCGTTCTGTGTCCTGTAATAACTACCAGTCCTTGTTTCTAAACCAAACATTTTTATAACTTATGACATTAGCAAAAAATTCCAAACATAGCCACACAGTTATTCCCTTCACACAGGCGTGAGCATCAATGACAGGATCGCATGAGGACAACCACTTGGACCGGATGTGTTTCACACTGGCTTCAATGGTCTCACATGCATTCCTTACAGTTAGACTGTGTATGTTGGGGATATTTCAGGTTATGCAATAGGCAAGTGTAGCCTTTCAGGAGACTGTTGCTCACATGTTGATGGTTAAGTGAAGCGATGTACAGTGCACTCCCAGTGATCTGGCTCAAGCAGCCATCAAGCAGGTACTACTAGCCATGCATGAAAAAACAGCAGCTGTGTTCGTAGAACCCTGCAGCAGGAAGACGACTTCAAAGAGGCAGCTTCCCTGACAGTGCATTCAGGTGGTGTAACACACCCTCTAGCAACAGCCATACCGGAGCTGTGAAGCTCATCTGGAGCACAATTTAATACAAAATATACTCTGGATTAATTTCAGAGGATAAAGCTGATGTGGTAAAAGCATAGACTTTTATACAGTCTATGGGTAAAAGCTGTTTGTTCAGGTTACCTTAGATGGCTTTTCAAAATATAACTGCCAGCACTGTATAGCCAAGAGCAAACAGTCTTATATCTCTTTGGTTTTTTTTTTTTAGCTTTTCATTTTGTGCATGTCAGTGTGTTAAATGGAAAGTCCTTAGAAAAGAGAAGTTGTGATCATTTTCATTCACTAGAAGATCCAATCAGACTGTACAGCTGTATGTTCCTTTCACACGAGGACAGTGTGGCATCTAAATATTACACTGTGATACTAGTGTGATATCCTGCTGACAGAACCACATGTATTTGTTTCTCACATCACTCCTGCAATTATCCAATGGTGATCTTTGGTTTAACAGGAAAGTACTTTTTCACAGTCCATGTCACAATACAAACAGTGACTCTTTGTATAAATCCTGTTGTTATTTTTCTTCCGCTTTTGTTTTATCTGTCCAATGAAAAACAAGAGGAACTATTTCTTTTCCCATGACGGCAATGACAGCCCTTATCAGCAGAGATCTTTCACAAAGTTGTAGATTATATCACATGACACCGGGTTTGAGCATTTGCATACTTTCTACAAAACAGTTATATCGTGTAGTCAAATCTGACAGGAAAGTGCATGCAGTAAACAGCAACAAAAAGCTGGACTGGACTTGTTAGGGAGCTGTGAACTCTTTTTTTTAATATCCTGTTTTGGTCCAAGTGTTGTCTTTAGCTTAAGCTGACATAGCTGTGGTTTCACCCCAAAGGAGCAACCGCTGCATGTCTGACGCACGGAAACGGACTTCAAATTTGGATGCAAGACATTTTTACTCGCAACAAATAAGTGACACTCTCTTTCTGTTTTAAACTGCTTGAGGTTTTGCATGCATGCACGCTGAATTCCTGCCCTCAGCAGCGTGGAGCAATCAAAAACAATATCTCAAGTTCTTATCGATGATTTCCAGTAATCTCACACTGCTTTCATGTTTTTTTGTTTCCTGTATTAGGTTCACAGGAGGATTAGGTGACAATAAAAAGTATGTCGGTGTCACAATGGCATCATTGCCGGGGATGATGAGTATACATGTTGACATGTGAAAGCACGCGTGCACGTACACACACACTCACACTAATACATGCGTCATCTACTCTGAAAGGACTAAGGCACAGTAAAGACTGTTGTTTTGATACAGATAAAGGTTCAGGATACTTGCTTCAACCAAGCACATTTCAAAACTTGTAGATCCTTAAAGGCAAAAGCAAGCAATGAAGAAAACCTGTTTTTTCAGTCATCTTTGCCAGCATTTGACACCTTTGTCTCTAAGCTCTGTACTGGCAGCCTATCAAAAAGGTGTGCTCAGTGTCAGACGATATCAGCTGGCCTGGGAGTGCAGCGCTCTCCTAACAAACTGTCTGGTTTGTGGTTGGGATTTTGTTTGGTTGTGGGCAACATGACCTGGTACCAATTCAGTGCATGCACTAGCTCAACAGGATAAAATGCGCTACAGTGTGCCAAAGTGTAGACTGAAGAAACAGTTGACATTGCTTCAAATAAACAGATCACTTTCAACAAGATGTCATATGTTTTGCCCTCACATCACCCAGTCTGCTTTTAGTGGCAACTTGCATGCATTTTTACTTCTTATTTTTGAACGACCTCCTGTCAACTACAGCAAAAACAGTGAAGTAGAACATTTGCTTCTGTTGCCTAAGGTTCTTGTTCTATAAGCCAATCCCATTAGTTAAAAGCACAGAAGTGGATCAGACATTATCAGTACTTGCCACTGCTTGCTTACAGCACCAACAGTAGCCTGAAAACCAAGCACAGGCAATTAGTGGGAGTATTTTTTTTGCTTTTCTACATTTCTGTGTGCACATGTACATTTATATGTATGGGTACATACTGTAACTGAACATTCGTTATAGTACACACCCAATCTGCTGAGCTGTAAACACTGTACCTTCCACAGCTCCTGGCTAATCAATTCCTTATGAAGGTATCTTTCTCTCAGAGTGGTTTAGATTTGGCTTGGCCATTATTACAGAGTGTAAGACAGGATGAAGCTTCAGTTAAGTAGTTGCCTCTCAGTGGCTTAGTGGTTGAGGTTAGATAGATTCCATAGGATGATATGTTGCTCTGTGACTGTGTGTTTGTGAATGTGTGTGTTGCCCCAGTTCTGTCGGAGGGTGGCCACAGAGGCTTAGTGGTCAAATGCCAAGATGCTCCTTTAACCAAGGGGACGATTAGAGACAAGCGTGTGCTGCTATTCTACCTGACCTGCACTATAAGCCACCGAGTGTCATCGTGCAGACATGAAACATACATACACACATGCTTACATACACAGTGGTGAATGGAAAATCCTGTTTTGAACACCAGGAACATGGTGTTTATTGGGAAACCCTTCAAATAGAGAGGTACCATCAAAAAGAAGTAATAAGAGAAGTCCTTCCTGTTTCAGTTACATTTGATGTGGATTCAGTAACATCTGTACACACCACATTTATACTGCTATATTGAGACAGCCTGGGAAAAGGTTGATTTTTAGCGTCAGTGTATTCGCAAAGTAATTGAGCTCTGAGAGGGAATGATGGTAACACAGTTATATTCAGGGTGGTGCTGTGGTGACGCGGGTCAGCCCATGCAGTGACCTACACATGTAAGTTTGCATGTAGGGTGTATGTATCCTATTTTTACCATGTCACCGCTGGTCTTAAAAAATGTCAACATGTTG